AATGTAAGAATGCAGGCTGCAGCACGAATGGTTTGCTCGACTAGGAATGACCATGCTCACAAAAAATGCAGCATAATACTGTGGTTATTCGTATGGTGAGTGACGAAAACTGAAGAACCTTTTAAATGGTAACGAAGTATTACATCTTAGTTATCAAGTATACCAACGCATAGCTGCACATTCATTATTTATTGAGGTGTCTATAAGCCGCAGCATCCGACTTGTTGTTTTCTAAAAAGTTTAATCGACTTATTTATATTAAAACTAATGGTAAAAGGTAATTCACCATAGTTAAATATTCTCCTTAAGTCAGGTCTTAATGTACGAGATTAGCGAATACAGATCAACGATCTGTAGTATCGAATCAATTATCTAGTACCTACGTAATACGAATTAGAACTATTTGATTTATAAGGTCAGGTGTTTGCCTATCTATACATATAATAAAACTGTAAATAGCAGATGTCTGTACATTTTATATTTTTGTAATAAAAGTGATTGAGGGGTACTAAAAATAAGTAATTAAATACATTTCTACCATTTTTAGAATTTTCTGTCTGTCTGTCTGTCTGTCTGTCTGTCTGTTTGTTTGTTAACGTATCACGTATAAAGTACTAATTTATATCAAAAGAATTGTTAAGGAAATTATAAAGTGTATCTTCGGGTTACATTTAGTCTTTATTTCATTAAAATCAGTTCATTCTATCAAAAGTTATGATAAATATTCTGAAGTATGGGTAGGGAAGTATAGGTACGAATTTGCTCAACGGTGGCTTTGTTTGAGTCATCAAGTGCATTTTAAACTAATATCATATCATAAATTATAGTTAAATTATGTAAAATAATGATATAATTATGTATATCTAAAACGCAGTAAACAAATGTATTAAAGAACGTATTACAAAAATATATTAACCTTATTAACTAAATCTGAAGCACAATAGTTAACCCATTTCTTCGATAGATGGTGGTGTTGTGAAAATGCAATGCAATTGCAATGTGGTTTTTTCCTGTAGATGAGTTTTCATATTTACTGCTAATCTTTATTATATTACTCGCTGCCCTACTGCATGTTGACAAACTCAATTTATTCTTTACCGCCGAGTACTCTATGTGGTAAATCAAATTTTAAAAGAGCTATTAACAATGAGGGCATCCACGACTTTTTCTACCACCAGGGCAGCGCCACTGGAAAGGGAGGTATAACATTTGACAGATTTCATAGCGGTAAAGTTAATTTATTTGGAAAATGTAAGACTTATTGTTTCTTTTTGTATTATTAGCTATATTTTATATTAATAACATTCAAAATAAATAAACCAAATCACAGATATTCATAAAAGTGGAAAAATTATAAATAGTTCAAAATGTACAAATATTTTAAAAAGGAAACCACTGACGCATTATTTTTGTATTAATATAATAATCTAGAAACTGATAAACATTTATTAAAAAACAACTTCTCAATTAAATTACATTGTGTAACAAAAAACTTTACCTCAGTGTCAACTAGCGACATCTGGTGAGCGGAAAATTATTAGCCCCCATTGCGTTGGTTTTGGCGAGAGTCAAACTTTATTTTTTGCTTACTGTGCAGGCACTGATTTATAAGTTCTCTTGCGTTTTATATAATGTATCAATCGCGTCAATTAATCTCTTTTATTTTTAGAATTGATGTTAGCAGCGCCATCTCTCTTTAAATATATACATATAATAAAAATGATGATAACATGTTGTGTCTCTTTCTGTACATTATATATATATATTGGTGGCTAAAATCATTATGGGGAACTGAAAATAATTAAATAAGAACATTTTATAATTTTTAGTCTGTCTGTCTATTTGTCTGTTATTATATGAACGCATCACGTCTAAAGTAAACATCTTTTATTTTCAAAGAAATCGTTAAGAAAATCATAAAGCGTATCTTCGAGTTACATTTAATCTTTGTTTTATTAAAATTGGTTAATTCTATAGAAAGTAATGATTATTATTTAGAAATGTAGGTTCGAATTTGTTCAATGGCGCCATAAAATCTCAGAAATAGTAATAAAAAGATTTGTGTGTAAAAAAAAACGGTCCATAATAATTAATATATTTATACTTAAAACACAAAAAGAGATTTAAAAAGGATGTTTTCTCACACAAAGGACGTAATAGATGGAGTTGCACAAATTACAAACTTTTCTGAATTGCTGTGTTGAGATTTTTCGCCGATGAATCGTATTGAGACTTACTGAAGAAATTTGTAACCATTGAAGGCATACAACGGAACCCGACCAAAAATAAAAATTTTGCAACGAAATGTCGTGATATTGTATTTATAATATACGCAAAATCAGTACTGCCATTTTAGCGCTTTGGGAACTAGATTTAGCCCTTTTTTGGAATGTATAGCGCGCATTTCGTAATTTTAGCACCTAGCTTAATCCAGCGCTTTTTGGTGTATTTAGCACACATTTCAATATTTTAGCGACTAGCGGGTTATTAACTCTTTTATAGCAGCACTGTTAGTCCACATTACCGATAATAATAATAATGACCTTTATTATTTTTTCCCACAAATAGTACATTGCAGTTTATCTTTTTCAAACATATTTTTTCCACAAAGCTTTTTCACATGCTCTTTGCATGGGAGACGAGTCCAAACTAGGATACCCTGTGCTATGGATCTCCTGGCTTCCCCTTTAGAATGATCAACTTGATTTTTTTACCGACGACTATAAGCGGGGAAATCCCCTTTATTAAAGTTTTCGTTCATGGTTTTGGCAACGCATTTATTTTGCTTTATTCAGTTTCAGTCAGTTGCTTAGAGCACAGCTAAGTTAAAAGTTACTTAGAAGTTATAACACAAAGAAACTGTGTAGCAACCGCAATCAGATGCTGACACCTGAAACTAAGTTGCGAAATACATTGCACTTTAAAACAATTAATGACATTTTTATTGTTCGTACAGTACTAACTACTGTTGACAGCAATTGCCATAATTATAAGTCGATGTCCTACGAAGTATTGATACATCAAAAAAATATTGCCAGAAAAAAAACTTAATGTTGTTTTCTTTATTATGATTATATAAAAAAACACAAACTTTGTTTGTAGTTAATTTAGCGCGAAATCTAGGGCTTTTTTAAAGCGCTGTTTTCTAAACTCTAAATCTAGCGCTTTTTGTGTTGTCCTAGAGCTGAATGAGTTTTTTTTTAGCTGGCAGCACTGCCCAAAAACCCTCTATTAAGAAGTAACTTTCCTTTCAGTTTAAAGCGCGTTCAGTTCCCAGTTACAGTGAGCGTGTGTTATGCGATGACCGTAAATAAAGCGCAAGGTCAAACTTTACGCGTTGTAGGAGTGTACCTCAGTACTGACTGTTTTGCACATGGCCAACTCTATGTTGCTTTTTCCCGCGTTAGTAGCCCCCGTAACCTTTTTGTGTACACCCCGGCTAAGCCTACTTCTAACGTCGTTTACACAGAAGCTCTTTCATAAACGACTTAGAACTTTGATGATAATGATTTATTTAGTTACCACTTATTGATACAGTAATAAAATAAATCGTTTAATATTCTCTTACCTAAACGACAAATTCTTTATGTAAAACCTGTATACGCGAGCTACGCCGCGGGCACAGCTAGTCTTAGAATAAAAGTAAATCTAGCTGTCCCAATTCTGGTGAACGTGAACATCTCAAAATTCATAACATAATCTTTAATAGTTAAACACGTACTATTAAATTTTTTATTCAAATGGCTGTGAAGGACTGTAATGATGATGATGATGATGATGATTAAAAAAATGTTAGTTTTCAAAAACGCAGTGTTTGCTTTTAAAAGTGTCATGTATTTTAGGATGAACCTGCGAAGCCAAGTCAAATTTTAATGCAGTTTAATGCATCTTATTAAAAGGTTTTGTCAAGTATCCTATTATAAAGTAAAATATTTAATTACTTCTAAGAAAAATACGAGAAAATCTGCTAAATATTTCTTTATCGTAAAGCATTTTAGGCTAATAAGGGATAATAAATTACACTCGTATAATGTGACAAGTGATATCTACGTCAAAACTATTTCAATTAATCGACTGATAAAGAAGTAAACATACCTACGTTGATTTTAGTGACGTGACGTTGTATACCTGATACAGACCAACAAAGAAAGATAGACGGAGTGCTGCGTGTACATTTGATGTTCCTAATACCCAAACCATTCTCAACTTCTTGGCACGCACCACGCACTCACGGTCACGCATGTTGCACATATTTTTTCTTCTTTCTTCCTTTGTCAATCAACCCATAAAAGTTCACTGCTGGATGCACATATTTGCGTTTAAAATCACGTTGCTGTTTATAAACGATTTTAGATGCAGATGTACGCGTGAGTGCCGCTTCGTACAATAACTTGAGCATAATTTTGGCTTGGATTTTACGTAACTTAAAGCCCTTCGTCTTTAAGTTACGTAAAATCCAAGATCCAATCCAAATTTTCTTTCTATGTATGTCTGAGATACCTAGAAGTAAAAAGTAATAATATATTTATATCCTTCTGCTGTACATTGGTTTTTTCCAAATTCAAAGGTTTTGTAATTTTGTTAGATTTAAAAAAAATGTTAAGCCATATTATGTCATGATGGGCCAAATCGGAAAATAAGAAGCTATAATCATTTTATTTTTATAGGATAAGGGTGACAAGCGAGCACACAGTCCACCTGATGGTAAGAGATTGCTGTGGCCCATAGACATCTACTTTTATCCTCGATGACGAATCAAAATGCAGATGCGTTGTCACCCGTGAGGACTAAGATGGAATGCCTCGTTTCCAGTAAAAAGGGTATCCGGTTCTCTACACTCACCATACGAAACACAGCTGGATCAAGCTGCTATTTTACGCTGATATTCTGTGAGAGCGTGGTCCTTCCCCGGTCGAGCCGACCCATTCGTGCTACAACTATACCAGAAATATAGCTGCAGCATGGCTCTACTGTACATGTGATATTAATTAAATTTCCAGACGCCATAGACACGATACGCCTACCATACCTCAGCATATCTTCGTATAATTTTGCGGGCATGGGTGCCATTGCTTCTGGATGGGGCATTGCAGCGGAAGGTTAACTTAATTTTTATTTAAGCTAAATAAACTATGTTTTGTTGCTATATGTGGTTATTGTTGTAAGTACTAAAATTCCACCCCAAAAATAAGTAGAGAAAAAGGGACGGTATCTAAAATCAATATACTTATAACGCTAGCTTAATGAAATAAAAACTGAAGTCTATTTAGCAACTAATGATAAGAAAAAACTTTAAATTTAAAGTTTTTATTCATAAAGTTCACAAAATGTATGGCATTAGAATTTTTTTTAATTTGATGAGAACTTGTTTCTTGGTTTCAAATAAAGTTAAGTAAGTATATTAAAAAACATGCGTGAGTGTCGTAGAACACTCGGTTGGAACGAAGTTCCATTCGTAGTATTTATTATCATTATTATTGATAAACGTATTATAGTTTTTTCTTATATTTCTCATGGTCGCTTCTTACCACACCTTGTCGTGAAGCGACAATTAAAAATAAAAGAATCTAACCTAACAGCAACAAAACAACAAAAATACTACAAAAACAAATAATATATTTAAGATTTAAAAGATATTTACAATATTATATAGTAATATATAGTAATATGAAGATGAGGATGGATGTCGTGAATTACAATTTTTTTAAAAAAAAGGTAATAAAAAAAAGATTAAGAGTCGAAGTTGAGTCTGAAGATCCAAAGTGTGCTCTCAGCGCTTGGAACGAGCACGCACGGCGTAGGTGAGAAGGCGTGGGCGTCTCTAGGCGACGACCTCAGGTGAATGCGGTGATTGCAGGATCCGGCGATTTCAGGCCAGACAGGGGCTTGCAGGATCCTCAGCGACTTCAGACAGGACAGAGGCCTGCAGGATCCGGTAACTTCAGGCGGGACAGAGGTTTGCAGGTTCCGGTGACTTCAGGCGGAACAGAGGTTCGTAGAGTCCAGTGGCTTCAGGCAGGACAGAGGCTTGCAGGATCCCGGGGCAGTGCGGCCCCGGGATAAGGCCTTTAGGAGATGCTTCGAACTCGAGAACTGAAGCGAGACTCAATTTCTTCACCGATTGTTCGGCTTTTATACCTTTCTAGAGAGAACGGAAAAATTATTTAAATTAAACGCAAATTTTTTGTAAATGGTCAAGAGGAAAGAGTATTTATGTAGAATTATCGAAATAGAAACAACAGACCGGTAGCAAATTTGAATATAATTGTCATAGCGACCAAATAAACAACGATGTCAAAACATGTCAAATTTTGGTTTTAGGCTTGTAATAGAAAAACGGCAAGATTTAAGTGAAAAATGAGATATTATTGATATAGGAAAAAAGGTAGCGCAACTGCGCGCACAAAGTCCGAAATTGCAGAGTTACGGAAAACTAAATAAACGATCGAAAAAGGTAGACTCCATTGACACCAATTTAAAAGTGCTGATAATGTGAAAATACGAAGTAGAAATGATTTGTTATTGTGTTCTTATGGTTTAACCCTTAGTAGCCTGATTTACGAAAGTGATTTTTTTTAAATATTAATGTGTTTGCTTGAGGGTCTAGATGAAGGGAAAAATAGCTAAAAAAATCACAATATTAATTTTACATATTTATTTAGAAAAAAAAAACAGGTATCAATTTTGATACTTCAGGTATTAAGGCCATAAAGAAATCAGATATACCTATGCATGAAATAATGCGAAACATTGATTGTTTTTATTATCGCATAACGACACTTTACACTTTTTACAGAACCAGGAGGTAAGTTTCCTACAATTGTTAAATTTACACTTATTTCTAGAATCCATAAATATTTTTTCATGACCAATACAATCGCAACGCACGTCAGTAGAGGGTAATACTTGTACACCTGTCCGGGGTCTTTTAGAAGGTACTGTAGTGTCTTGTCGACTGTTGGTACTGGGTCTTCCCCTTTTATTTTTCGAGTGACTTTGATATCTACATAAAGTATCGGCAAGCTCAGTTCTAAAATCTGCTAACTTCATAATGTTCTTCTGAAGTTTTCCTTTCACTGTGTTTACCTTTTTGTATAGTACCCAAGCATTGATGACAGTCATGTCTAACAAGTGGTAGAAGAGCCTCGTTGTCCACTTTCTCGACTTTATCCGGATGCGATATCGACCAATGAAGCTATCCATCAAATCAACGCCGCCCATGTGTGCATTATATTCTTTTATGACCCGAGGACATGATACTTGAACATTGGCCTTTAGTTTTTTTTCGTAGCGGGTTATAGTATCCGCTGGTTCAGCGCCAACATACGTCGAAAGTAATAGAACTTGTTTGTTGTCTTTCCAACTTGTGGCCGAAATATCTTGGCCTTCGTGAAAGGCCACATTTTCGTGATATGTTCCTCTGGGTACGTTAGATTTCATAATTTCCCGTTTCTCCGGCAACTTGCACGACTTTCCAAGCCTGTTTCTCTGTACTGTTCCAAGACAATAAATACCTTCGTTGGTCAAGTAATGTAGCAGAGGAATATTCGTATAAAAATTGTCAAAATAAGTTATATGATTGACGTGCCTTGGTACTGGTCGTAACAATCGAATAACTGTATTCGATACAGGTCCGAGGTCTGGCTCGCCAGGTAAACGGTCTTTGTCCTTAGCTCCTGAGTAAATCTCAAAACTGTAGGCATACCCAGACAGAGAGCATAAAACGTATAATTTGAATCCCCACTTATGGGGCTTGTTGGGTAAGTATTGTTTCATAAAATGTTTAATTTTAGTGGAACACATTTGCTCGTCTAGTGATAGACGATGCTCAAATGGTACAGTACTAAATTTCTTGTTCAAATAGTCTATCACTGGTCTTACTTTATGCAGTCGGTCGTGCTGGGGATGATCAATGGGCAAATGTTTAGAGTCATCATTCATGTGAAAAATTTGTCGAATTTTATCAAATCTGTTGCGATTCATTGTTTGTGCTATGGGTTCAAACTTTGTAATGTTTGACCAGTATGACCTGACACTGGGATAATGATATACACTAGTAAAAATAAGAATTCCAATAAATTTGCGTAATTCTAAGACAGTTACAGGTTCTGTAAAGTTGGGATTCTTTTAGAAGGCATATTTATTTGACTCGTCCACTAGAAATCTTAAAATTTCTTCACCGAAAAAATAAGAAAAAAACTGAAAAGGAGTGTCTAAGTTCATAATTTCTTGTGAATACTCAGTGTTTCCAGCAAACTGGAAAGCATTTTGGACTATGTCCATATTCTTTACTCTCCACACTAAGCTTCTAGAGTTGAAAGGTGCAGTTTGCGGGTTGTTCTGGCTGCTGGTTGTAGGAGTTGGGCTTCGTTCAACAGTCTCTAAATTATGTTGCATGTCGGTATCTACGATTGCTACAGGCAGATCTGCATCCAAGTTTAGGTCAGTGGGAAAATTACCTACATCCTCTTCATCTTCTAGCTCCATCAGGCGATCTCTTTGGCTCGAATAATAGTCTATGTCATCTTCATTGTCGGTGGAATCGTCTTCCGAAATTTCACCATTTTTTAACCGCATCAATATGCTCTCAATCTCTTCTGGTCGCATTTTTGATAAATTTCTATAATAAAATTAAAATAAAAGTAATCCCAACACCAAGCTAAGCAGAAAAATAATGAAACGGAAGTTCAAAAAGTTTTTATAGCTAAAGAATTAGTAGTTAGGTTTTATGTAGATCGGAATGCCCGAAGTATCAAAATTGATACTCACAAAAATAGCACTAGTTTCTTCAAGTAAATCATGCACTCGCAAAAAGTAATTATATCATAGCGAAAATAATATATTCACTTACCTCAAAAGTATTTATATTCTTCAGAAAAAGAAAATATATCAAATTTGTTTTCAACAAAACTTTTAGTAAAATGTGTTTACTTGTTCACTTTGCCGCGCAAGTAATATGTCATAGATAAAATAAAACAATAATGACATTTGCTTTTTTTTTTAATTTCGTTGGAAAGAATATTATACAACAGTAAAATACGAACAGCCAACCTATAAAAAAAAACTAATAGTAATGTGAACATTCGGTTTAAAAGATTGGTATCAAAATTGAAACTCTAGGTTATTAAGGGTTAAAATCGTTACAGGATCCTATGGAAATAAAGGTGATGTAAAATATCCAGTTTTGAGGTGAATGCAGAAAATCGAAACAGAATGGAAAAATGAATTTAAAATAATGTAAAATATGTAAGTAGCATAACACTACATTTTCCCCCCGACCCTGGAAAATTTTTGACTCAGCAAAAATTTTGATATATACATTCTAAAATAAACCATAAAAACACAGCTTTGCAGGAACAGACATCACCAGGCAAAATCAGATAGGTAAACTATCTCTTACATTCATCATCTGCATTCAGGTAAGGGTGGAGTTCACATTCAATGACTACCACTCTAAAAGTGTGTTTTCAAAAGGACATTCAGGCTTATTTAAAGAGTTGTCATCCGCTCCTGCGTGGAAAAAAAAATTATTAAGGGAGTAGTCAGCCGCTCCCAAGTGAAGATAAAGATAAAGAAATATCTTAAGTAAGCTTTAGTCGCTTATGACTTAAGTAAAGATTAAGAACGGCCAGAGCGGTATGGCTCAAAGCCAGAGATCAGCAACATCACTAGCGAGATGTGTCTGAAATAATAATAAAAAGTGAAGATTAACCAACCAAACAAACAAACAAATTAAAAGAAATAAAAATAATAAGGTGAAAATGATGGTGAAGATGAGAATGATGGTGAAGTTTGAGAAACAAGAGGGGGTTCCATGACAGTCGGGTCAACAGGAGGGTCAAGTGATGGAGAGTCATTTTCAGTTGAAGGTGGAGTCAAGGATTCGAATTGTTAAGTAATAGCGTCAAATTTGTAAAGTTAAGTTTAAGAAATAAAAATTTAATTAAAAAATTATACCTCTTTAAGTTACCTAGAATAAAAATATTAAAGTGATGAATGTAAGTGAAGTGTTAAATGTAGGTCTAAATATAATCCAGATAAGTTGAAACACTAGATGAAGTTTTGTTTTAGAATTTGGAAGATTATCTAGAATAAAAATATTAAAGTGATGAATGTAAGTGAAGTGTTAAATGTAGGTCTAAATATAATCCAGATAAGTTGAAACACTAGATGAAGTGTTGTTTTAGAATTTGGAAGGTATGAAAAGGATGAATAAATAAAGAGTTAAGAACGAAAGAGGAAGCAATTAAATCAAAAGGAATGGACAAGGCGCAGTAAAGGTGAGGAAAAGAGAAAGAGAACTTTTACGTTCGGCGCCAAAATGTCGTGAAACGACAATTAAAAATAAAAGAATCTAACCTAACAGCAACAAAACAACAAAAATACTACAAAAACAAATAATATATTTAAGATTTAAAAGATATTTACAATTTTATATAGTAAAATGGGGTATGAAGATGAGGATGGATGTCGTGATTTACAAATTTTTTAAAAAAGGTAATAAAAAAAAGATTAAGAGTCGAAGTTGAGTCTGAAGATCCAAAGTGTGCTCTCAGCGCTAGGAACGAGCACGCACGGCGTAGGTGAGAAGGCGTGGGCGTCTCTAGGCGACGACCTCAGGTGAATGCGGTGATTGCAGGATCCGGCGATTTCAGGCCAGACAGGGGCTTGCAGGATCCTCAGCGACTTCAGACAGTACAGAGGCCTGCAGGATCCGGTAACTTCAGGCGGGACAGAGGTTTGCAGGTTCCGGTGACTTTAGGCGGAACAGAGGTTTGCAGGTTCCGGCGACTCCAGGCAGAGCAGAGACTTGTAGGATCCCGGCGACTTCAGGCAGAGCAAAGGCTTGTAGGATCCGGCGACTTCAGGTAGAGCAGAGGTTCGTAGAGTCCAGTGGCTTCAGGCAGGACAGAGGCTTGCAGGATCCCGGGGCAGTGCGGCCCCGGGATAGGGCCTTTAGGAGATGCTTCGAACTCGAGAACTGAAGCGAGACTCAATTTCTTCACCGATTGTTCGGCTTTTATACCTTTCTAGAGAGAACGGAAAAATTATTTAAATTAAACGCAAATTTTTTGTAAATGGTCAAGAGGAAAGAGTATTTATGTAGAATTATCGAAATAGAAACAACAGACCGGTAGCAAATTTGAATATAATTGTCATAGCGACCAAATAAACAACGATGTCAAAACATGTCAAATTTTGGTTTTAGGCTTGTAATAGAAAATCGGCAAGATTTAAGTGAAAAATGAGATATTATTGATATAGGAAAAAAGGTAGCGCAACTGCGCGCACAAAGTCCGAAATTGCAGAGTTAAGGAAAACTAAATAAACGATCGAAAAAGGTAGACTCCATTGACACCAATTTAAAAGTGCTGATAATGTGAAAATACGAAGTAGAAATGATTTGTTATTGTGTTCTTATAGTTTAAAATCGTTACAGGATCCTATGGAAATAAAGTTGATGTAAAATATCCAGTTTTGAGGTGAATGCAAAAAATCGAAACAGAATGGAAAAATGAATTTAAAATAATGTAAAATGATATGTAAGTAGCATAACACTACAACCTACGGGATTCGTACACATTTTTATTTGTGTTTAATATGTTCATTTTCGGTTATATCATCAGGAACGATCTTTTTATGTAAAATGTTATAATATAATTAGAACAAATGGTATCTTGGCAATGGTCATCAAATGTCTACTTTATAATCATGGTAAGTACTCACACTCCCTTCGCGGTTACGTTCCGCAGGCTGCCGCCATGTTTGGCATTACAGGTCAGCGGATTGGGCTTGCTTCTCGCCGGATGATCCCAGCGCTGTTGCTGACTCTGTCACTAATGTGGTGCTACAGGGTCTTGCAAAACTTAGCTACGACCGCTTGGACAGTTTCCACGAGCTTGTCATTCATATCGTCCACTGCATTGCAAGGACAACTCACAGGCCCACGCTGCAAAGGAGAAAGCCGACCTTTTAGGCTCACTTTTTGCGTCCAACTCGACTCTCGATGATGGGGGGACCACGCCGTCGACTATGCCACGGTGTGAGTGCTCTATGCCTGATGAAGACGATGTGATTGCAATTCACACAGTGCTCAGTTCGCAGAGCACTCCTCTCCCTGGACATCCACAAGTCGGGTAGGCCTGACGGAATCTCACCAATTGTGCTGAGGACGTGCGCTCCAGAGTTGGCACCGGTTCTAACGCGTCTTTTCCGGTACTCCTACTCCCTAGGCGTTGTCCCGAATTCATGGAAAACATCTTTCGTGCACCCGATCCCTAAAAAAGGTAACCGCTGTGATCCGTCCAACTACAGGCCTATCGCCTCACCTTTTTGTTCTCGAAAATAATGGAGTCTATTATCAACTTCCAGCTCATGCGGTTTCCGTCGGGGTCGCTCAGTTGCTGATCTTCTTGTTTACCTAACACACAGGTGGACGCAGGCGATCGAAATCAAGGCTTTTACGATTAGTTTGGAAATAGCGAATGCCTTCGATCGGGTCTAACACAAAGCGCTTCTTTCGAAGCTTCCTTCTTATGGGCTTCCAGAGAAATTGTGCATTTAGATCACCAGTTTTCTGGTAGTAGTCCGTGCATGCTCCGATTGCAAGCCTATTAACGCTGGTGTTCTACAAGGCTGCGTGCTACCATTAACGCTGTTTCTTCTGCATTGCATGCAATTATATGTTGCAAACCGGTAATATTCATTGCTATGCGGACGACAGCACTGGTGATGCTTTATACACCGGTCGTGCAAATATTTCTCGGGAAAACGTCGCCGAGTACCGGAACAAACTTGTGTCTGAAGTCGAGACTGTTGAACAAATTTCGGATTGGGGGCGACTAAATCTAGTCCAGTACAATCCCCAATAGACACAAGTTCACGCGTTCACTGCTAAAAAGAACCCCTTTGTCGTGTCGCCTCAGTTTCAGGACACTCTCTTTATTGCCTCAGCCAGTATCGGAATTCTCGGCGTTGATATATCGAATGACGTGCAGTTTCGTGGTCACTTGGGAGAGAAGACCAAATTAGCCTCTAAAAAGCTTAGCGTACTCAGTAGAGCGGGACAGTATTTCATACCGGCACACCGCCAGCAACTTTATAAGCTGCAGGTTCGCCGCACATGCAATACTGTTCCCATCTTTGGGCCGGGGTTCCCCAGTGCCAGCTTCTTCCTTTGATTCTTCCCGTCCCTTAACCTTTGATCGCATCCAGAGCAGAGCGGTTCAAATTGTCGGCGACCGAGCTCTTTCTGGTTGGCTTGACTCACTGGCGCTGCGAAGAGATGTTGTATCTCTTTGTGTATTCTATCGTATCTACCACGAGGAGTACTCAGAGGAATTGTTCGGACTAATTTCAGCCGCTCAATTTCACCATCGCACATCGCGACAGAACCAACCATCTGGATGATGGTGGTCTACTACTGTGCAATTCAGAAGAAGTTTTCTTCCTCGCACAACTTCCTTGTGGAATCGAATACCAATACCATTTTTTCCGGATCGATACGACTTAGGGACCTTCAAGAACAGCGCCTACTCTTTTTAAAAGGCCGGCAACGCATCTGCAATACTCCTGTTGCTCACGGGCGGCGGTGGTCACTTACCATCAGGTGAGCCGTATGCTCGTTTGCCCTCTCATATATATAAAAAAAAGAAAATATGTTATCTGTTTATAAAATATTTTATATATACGTTTAATGGTAATAAAGGCGTTGTACCTTAGGTGTAACATTCGTGTCTCCAACACTTCGCGAGAAGTTGATGACTGTTATGACAGATCCAGTTTGCAACTCGTCGTACTACAACCAACTGCCGGAAAATACCGTTTGTGGCTTCAGCGTAGCAGCAGGCATTTGCAAGGTAAAAACAAAAAGAAAATTTATCATACCAATTTATTAGACATGTTTTATTCTTGATTCTTTAAGTAAAACTGTATACAACCGGACTTCATGCATATGAGGGTTAGGACTTGAGTAATACTTTTCTTAAGGCTGATTTTTCAGATTTCTTTTTTATTTATACATGGTAGAGCCATGCTGCAGCTATATTAGTAGTATAGTTGTAGCACGAATGGGTCGGCTCGACCGGGAAAGGTCCACACTCTCACAGACTACCAGCGTAAAATAGCAGCTTAACACTGCTGTGTTTCGTATGGTGAGTGTAGAGAACCGGAGACCCTTTTTACTGGAAACGAGGCATTCCGTCTTAGTCCTCACGGCTGACATCGCATTCGCAAACGAGGAAAGATGTAGATGTCTATGGGCCACAGCAACCACTTACCATCAGGTGGACTGTGTGCTCGTTTGTCACCCGATCCTATAAAACAAATTCAGTTAAAAGTATTTCAATTGTTTAACTTTTATATTCAGTCAGGTTATAAGTTATTTGATGGATAACTTTTATTTCTCACGATAGAAAAATCAGGCTTTAGTCATTAATTTATAACGACACTTGAGGAGATGTAGTCAATAGTGGTGGACCAGAGAGTATTTTTAAAGATGGACATCAATTGTGGCACTATGATTATTAACCTTAATTTTTTATTCATTAATTACAGGGTGACAATGGCGGACCGTTGACAATTTTCTACAACACCACAGAAGAAGTTATTTTGGTAAGACCTTGTTGATAAATACATAGTTTAATTTTCAAAGCTAAAATAGAATATTTTGAAAACTTTAAGTTTACATGTTACATGATTATATCGATCCATCGAACAAATTGTCTGTTTTTTTACGGTTCTGTAGTTACGCAACAAGGAACCCTTGTAGTTTCACAATGTCCGTCCATCCGTTTACTCGGTCACCTTAGATTATTTATTCTGTGACCCTAGGTGCTACAAATCTGTAATTTAGCATAGTTATAGATATTAATCATGCTTAAATAACTGTAAAATAAAATCTTAAAAAAAAAAACATTTTTATTTTGGGTAGCTCCCATACAAGTAATGGAGGATGATTTTTTTTACCCTATTTTTATATTTTATATTTATTCCATCCTGTGGTGGGTCCGTTTGCTAAATGTGCCCCCTCCCCCTCTACCAAATAAACTGCTATTTACGAAAATGTTAAAAGTATACACAATAGTAATATATATAATGAAGTTAAAAGGAAAACTATTACCGCTAAATAGAATTAACAAGTTAACGAGTAATAGTCGACCAACTTATAAAATGCACTTGGATTACTAAAAATTTTGTTCCAACTTCATAGAAAACGATCTAAACCAGCTGCATTATAACTTTGTAACGTTATTGTAAACTGCAAAAAGAATGTGTCAGCTCCGACCCACGACTGTAGTTTACTCCCTAAGTTTACTCCTTATTAATTATTATAAAATATATAGATTAGTAATTGAGGGTAAATGAACGCATTTTTATATTACTGAAAGCACGCCTTTATTATTATTAATTAAATAATTTATATTCATCAAAATACATTACATAGTCATGGAAACGTAAACAAGCGTTTACGTTTCCATGACGTAGCGCATAACCTAACTTTTGATTTTTCTTCCCATTAATTTTCATACCCCGGGCTTATATATCGAGATATAAGATCGATTCTTAAAGAGTAAACTCCAAAATAAACATTTTATGAAGAAAACAACTTATATGCATTATTACTATAGTTTTACTTTTTCATTTGCGGGATAGGCGGGGAGGATCTTTGTTACTTATTTACTACTTTCGCTTATTTTTTACTTAGTAGTTATTGTAGGTCTCATTCAAAGTATTCATATAATCATATAGCCTCATACAGTTTCATTCGTTATACTCTTGGTTTACGCGGGCGACCCTCAGGATAATTTAGGGCAGTGGTGGATTACGTGAAGGTTCGTTATGGGCATATATTTTGTATATCTTAGGGTTGCACTGGCGGGAAATATGATAGATAGTCAACTATGTTCATACTTACGTTTGTAACTTATGTTTGTACTTACTTGATGTAAATTGTATTATTTTCAAAATCGAAAGATTTTTTAATCTTTTTTGAATACCACTCCCTATAAGGCTGATTTAAAATAAGTCCTTCAATAACGATCTTCCTATTTGGGCCCATTTTTAGTCGTTATAGCGGTCAAACCGCGAACTCACTTATTATGCTCATTATCAAGAAAGCCCACGTGCAACTACGGAACCCTACCTCTACATTGTGCGTGGCCCGACACGCACTTAGCCACTTTTTTAAATACTTTAGACGCTGCGCAAACGTAGACACTTTTGTGTATTATGTGGGATACAAGCTACCAGTGAATATTTTACTTTCGTGTAACGGCGGCTCTTCACGTTGGCCAACACACTGGCCAATGTGTTGGCCAACAACGACGGCCATCGTGTAGAGCGGGTGTTTAAGCTACGTTGGTACGTATTGGAACGATGGCCCACAAGTTGGCGCGAGATCCGTTTGGTGTCGGTTTTTTACAAAAGATCAAAGGGTTGTGGCAGAGTATTGGCCGCCGCGTCCACACCACACGTTGGCCGCACGTTCAGTTTGCTACGAGCTCCCATAGTGAATGCACGCACCTGATTTAAATTTCATATGCACGCAATAGTGTCTGCATAACGGCAGTAACAATGACCAATGAAAAAACTTTTCGCTTTATAGAGCCCTACCAAGCCGAAAATTGTTTGTAAAACACAAGTCTTTTTTAAAAAATATATTATTATACACTAGGATTTTCTCCTCTATCGTAGAGGCAGTTTAGAAACATAAATTGCATAAGGAAAAACATCCAGACCCGGAGAAATTATGTGCAGGCTATAAAAATACTTGTTCCGTGCGGGATTCGAACCCGCGGCCCCCAGGGCAGCAACTCATTGCTAGGCCACTACGCCACGGAGCCGTCAAGAAATAAAATTTCTTTTTTCCATTTCTTTTTGATCACTTGATTATTCCCTATTAGTTACTTCATTTCGTTAATAATACTGTAATTTTTAGCTACGGAAGAGTGAAGTCACCTGTTACAGGCATTATTAGGCTTACTAGGTGACCTCAATCACTGATTATATAATGTAACTTTAATGTTTGACGAAATAAATTATTTATTATTATCTGGGGTATTTGTATAGTTTTCTCATCTGGTTGGGCTGTATAAATATATAATTGAAAATGAAAATGATAAACTTACATAAATATCAATAAAATAAAATAAATACATAAAAATTACATAAATATATAAAAACCCAACCAGATGGAAGCCCTCGGCAGGGGAGACCAAACGGCCGAGGGTTAGGGGGAAAGGGAAAGAAACCGGCGGACGATGCGGGCGGTATCGAGGAGCACCGCCCTCTGCATTTGAGCTTGGAGCGATCCGTCACGGAGTCCCAGTCGCCTCAGGTGACCCGAGAGGCTGACTGGGATTAACCCGTTCGCAGAAACGACCACAGGAATAATTTCGGCCGGCAGACCACCCCACATGTCGGTCACCTCGTGAGCCAGGTCCAGATATTTTGTCACCTTATCTGTTTCGGCTTTCACGAGGTTTTCGTTTATTATTATTATTATTAAGTTCGCCATATGTACTACTTTGTGCATGAAAGTGTAAATAAATAAATTCTATAATTATATAATAACCCTTTTTTAAAAGGTTTTGTTTAATAAAAATTTTACAACAGTTTCATAGACAGGCTTCCAATATTTTAAAGGCCTTAGTTAATTATAACTATGCCTAGGTGTGTTAATGTTTATATAGTTTACTTATCTGTATAACGTTAGTGTATAATAAAGAAATATTAAAAATTTATATTAAAAAATATTAAATATTAAAAATAGTGAAAATTAAATAAAAAAAATAGTGGTATGCTGTGAATAAATAAACCGCAGCAGCCGTTAGCGCATCAATAATCATTTTAATAAATTCGTCCGCACATTGGCATGAATCGAAGCAAACTGAACGACCTTCCAACGTGTGGACGCGATCACAATTTCATGGCCAATAACTCTGCCAACACATTCGCCACTGTGTTGGCCAACGTGAAGAGGCGCCATAAGCAATATGAAATCAACCATTCCTTGCGCAGAGGCAGACATTTTTTGTGTCCAGTTGCTTCCACTTGACACATACCGACCGCGAACCAAAAATTATTCGGTGTAGGTAACTGGAAACTTTAAGTCGTCAGTTGAAGACACAAGCAACACAAAGCAAATTTCAAAAAAAGGTATATTATAAAACTGACTGAAAATAAGCAACGAATTGTTACCAGTGACCAGAAGTAGCAACCGGCGACTGTGTCCGATCGCCGCTACCGGACACAGCATCTACGGTTCCTGTGATGTGTGCCGTGTCGATAGCAAAAAGTGTCTTATACTGAGACCAATAAGACTTTTTATTGGTCTAAGTCTGAGGTCTTAAGGTCTATTACTATTTTAGTGACTGTGATTTTCTAAATTTTGATAAAAGTTATTTTCTAGTGTGGTGATAGTAACAAGGACTACACTAGATGCCAGGTCTCCTATTTTGCGTAGGTGTCCGTATAGTTAATTTGGTATAACATGTGTATCAACACGGAATATAAAAACTTACCACTTTCTCTTGTTTTTTTATATTCTGTGTGTATCATTAATAACCATAAAATACTAGAAAAAGTTACAACAAAAATTTTATATTGAATAATAATTACAATAGAATTTCTAGAAAATTAGAAAATATTTTTTTTCTTGTACTGTGGAGATGTTTTACAAACATAAATTGTACATCGATAAACACCAAGATGCTTTTCTGGGTTCTCCTTTAGACTTAGCCTCTGCGCCAAAAACAAAATTTACAATATTTTGTCTGTGCATATCTCTGTATGGTATTATCCACATTCCAGTTTTTTTTTAAATTCATTACATTAAAACGTGCCACACAAAGAGAAAGGAAAATTATGTCTATTTCCATCATTTTAAACCAACATACTAAAATGAAATTTGTAAATTACAGATTGGCGTGGCATCGTTCGTAGGCGCAGGTGGATGCAGTGACGATCTACCCTCTGTTTTCACCAGGGTGCAGCGGTACTTACCCTGGATAAGCGAAGTTACCGGCGTCACTTTGGAATAATTATTTAATAAGCAGAGTCGAATAAGCACGAAATACAGCATAAATTATGTCGTGATATTTGTGAATTTGTAATTTGCAATTATGTTATTACTTTGGTCTGTAACTTTATTTTTCAACTTGATTATGTATTTGTAAGTTATAATAATATATAACTAATTTTATTTTATTTAAAAAAATCTAAATAAACGTATTGCGGTACAATCACTGATTATATTTTTAGATGTAATTTATTAATAACAATTAAAAAGTAAAATATATATGTTTTTATAAAGCATAGAGGGTGACGAACCAGCACACGTGATGGTAAGTGCATCACAGCTGTGCTCTGTGTGCTGTCTTGCATTATTTATCTATGGTGCTGTGTACTGTGCTAGTTTGTTACCTAATTCTATATAAAAAAGTGGATGTTGACGCCCATAGACATTTCTACATCTATTCTCAATGAAAAATCAAAATGCAGATGCGTTGTTACCCCTGAGCACTAACAAGGATTGCCTCGTTTCTAGTAAATAGATTCTCCCTGGTACTTTACACCATAAGAAACACAGCAGCATTAAGCTGTTATTTTACGCAGGTATTTTGTGAGAGCGTGGTCAACAGAGCCGACCCATTTGTACAACCACAATCTAACTGCAGCGTGACTATACGTGATATCTGATGACAAACAAGTATATAACACTATATGAATAAAAGTTGTTTTTCGAACATCTTATTAACACATACATAGAATAAACGATATATTTGTATGCAAAAGTATGTAGATTATTCAGTAACTGATAACAATATCAGAAGACGAACTGATAACGGCGCAGGTAGTCGATGAATACAGGTGGCTGAGGACCACTGCTTGTGAATTGAAATGATGATAATGATTACGTCAATATCAAAAAATTCAAACTGTCATGTCTACTAAGTGACCTGATGAAGAAATGATGTAAACAGAAATCTTTAAGAAATACGCTGGTATTTCTTAAAGATTTAAGCAAGAGAGAAATTTTACCCATGAGCTTGAATACCGAGCATTAAACCCCACTGGCACATACAAATTATTGATGAATCGTACGTCTAGACAGACGCTAGTGTGGTCTGCAAACCTTGAAAGCGAAAAATTATCATTTTATAAAGAGTCAATGCCGACTTCAAAGTACTAAAAAGAATATAATTTCACTTTCACTGACCTCAGTGCTCAGACAAATTATAGAAAAATTAAAGCCCCACTTAAACTTTTGAATGGACTAGCTAGAGTATCATAAGGCCTCTCTGGATACCAAGAATCCATTTCATGAGTAAACCTGTAACAGTTCTTAAAAAAGTGCCATTCTTATCTCTGACTCATAAAACCTAGACCACTTATTTATGACTAACTTGAAATTTGGCATTAAGATAGATCACAAGGCTTATAAAAATCTAAAAATTAAAAAAAAATCGCTATTGAAAAAATGTCGACAAAGTTTTTTTGGCGTGTTTTAACAAGTAGGTACTGTACTGCAAACTACCCACACAAATAATTTTTTCGTAATTCTAATAAGTATTTTAAATTATAAACGCAAAAAAAAAAATGGTGAGTCGTTTATTTATTTATCTCAGTAACAACATAAATGTGAAAAGGGCGCCAAGTTCGATACAATCGACGTTTGAAGTTGTAAAAGATAAGAGATGTGAACTGGTACCAACTACCAATGTATGGAACATGAGATATTACGTAGGTACATTATACTATACCTACATATTATCTCAATGTTCCATAGTGATTGAAGGATAGTTAACGTAATATTCATCACCATCGAGAAAGTCACAAGCCCGTCTGCCCTCTCCTGTATAAAAAAAGTCTTGATAACTTTTTGGCAATTTCTAGAGGCGCCTCCTACGAAACTAAATATTGTGAGCTCTATAAAGATAGCAGTGAAAACTCAGCAGAAACTTTAAAATTGTATCCATGAATTTGTAGCTAATTTGTTGCTAATTAGTTGCCAAAATCGCGATTTTGTTGCTCCAACCGGTTTTGAAAAAATCGATTTACTGCTATCTTTACATTAAGATAGCAATAAAAACTTTCAATCAACCCCGCCGTAGCGGATAAAACGGGATAATTTGTTGCTAATTAGTTGCTGAAATATAATGCAAAAAAAATTTAAAAAAATTTAAAAAAAATCAAAAATTAAAAAAATATCAAAAATTAATAAAAATCAAGTTATGTTTTAATACTGCTTCTGAAGTTCCAAATTAATGAAAATTTTGCTGCTAATTAATAATAGATCAATAACGCCCAGATAGCCTACAACATCATAAAATCGGTGGATAAGCTGTATCAAGTAATAAGTTACAAATAAATGCTTAGATGCTGCCTATATGGGAAATTTAAAAACAGAACAACAGATATATTGTTGCTGTTCAGTTATGAAAGTAGCAAGTCATAAAGAGCAAGTAACAAAATTAAATCGATCTATGACCAGTACCAAGTAATTAGTAATTTTTTGTGTAACAAGTGTGTAGCAAGACATAAAGAGCCAGCAGCAATATAAAATAGGTCGATAAGCTGCACCAAGTAATAAGTAAATAATTATTTGTGTACATGCTATATCTACATGAAAATTATAGGAAAAACGATAGCAGATATTTTGATGCTGGTCAGTAACGGAAGTATCAACTCATATAGAGCCAGCAAAAAAGTAAAGTCGATCTATAAGCTACACCAAGTAATTAGTTAGTAATTATTTGAGAACATGCTAAATTTTTATGAAAATTTTAGGAAAAAAGATAGCAAATATTTTGTTGCTGGCCAACAATGGAAGCAGCAAGTTAAAAAGAGCCAGCAACAAAATAAAATGGATCGATAAGCTGCACCAAGTAATATGTTAATAATTATTTGTTTACCTGCCATATTTACTACAAAATTATAGGAAAAAGGGTAGCAGATATTTTGTTGCTGGTCAGCAATGGAAGCAACAAGTCATAAAGAGCCAGCACCATAATAAAGTCGATCGATACAAACAGCAACAAAATATCTACTATCTTTTTTTCTCAAATTTTCATAAAAAAATAGCATTTACACAAATAATTACTAACTAATTACTTGGTGCAGCTTATCGATCGACTTTATTTTTTTTGCTAGCTCTGTGTGAGTTGCTTCTTCCGTTACTGACCAGTAACAAAATATCTGCTATCTTTTTTCCTATAATTTTCATGTAAATATATCATGTACAAAAATATCTGTTAACTTATGACTTGGTGCAGCTTATCGATCTATTTTATTTTGTTTCTGGCTCTTTATAACTTGCTGCTTCCGTTACTGACCAGCAACAAAATATCTGCTATTTTTCTTCCTATAATTTTCATAAAAATATAGCATGTAAACGAATAATTATTAACTTATTACTTGGTGCACCTTATTGTTCTATTTTATTTTGTTACTAGCTTTTTATGAGTTGCTGCTTCTGGTACTGACCAGCAACAAAATATCTGCTATATTTTTTTCAACAATTTTCTAGTAAATATAGCTTGTACACAAATAATTATTAACTTATTACATGGTCAGCTCATCGGTCAGTTTTATTTTGGTACTGGCTCTTTATGACTTGCTGCTACCATAACTGAGAAGCAACAAAAATTCTGCTAACTTTTTTCCTAAGATTTTTATGTAAATATAGCATGGACACAAAAAATTACTAACTAATTACTTGGTACAGGTCATAGATAGATTTAATTATGTTACTGGGTCTTTATGACTTGCTGTTTCCATAACTGAACATCAACACTATATCTGTTGTTCTGTTTTTAAATTTCCCATATAGGCAGCATCTAAGCATTTATTTGTAACTTATTACTTGATACAGCTTATCCACCGATTTTATGATGTTGTAGGCTATCTGGGCGTTATTGATCTATTTATTAATTAGCAGCAAAATTTTCATTAATTTGGAACTTCAGAACCAGTATTAAAACATAACGTGATTTTTATTAATTTTTGATATTTTTTTAATTTTTGATTTTTTCAAATTTTTTTTTGCATTATATGTCAGCAACTAATAAGCAACAAATTATCCCGTTTTATCCGCTACGGCGGGGTTGATTGAAAGTTTTTACTGCTATCTTAATGTAAAGATAGCAGTAAATCGATTTTTTCAAAACCGGTTGGAGCAACAAAATCGCGATTTTGGCAACTAATTAGCAACAAAATAGCTACAAATTCCTGGATACAATTTTAAAGTTTCTGCTGACTTTTCACTGCTATCTTTATAGAGCTAATATTGTGTACATTAGTAAAAGGCACTCCGTCATTTTTGAAGGAGAGGTTACTCGTCACCTACATCACACATCGTCTTTACACCCCTCTAATGATTTTTATTGATAAACGTTACCCCCACACTAATATTTTCTCCTGTATCATGGAGGCAGTTAACAAACATAAATTTCACAAGGTTGTAATTATGAAATTTATGTTTACATCCAGATTCGGAACAATAATTATTTGTAGATTGTAGGCAATACAAATTCTTGTGTAGCCGGTGTGAAGGAAAAGGGGAGATCTCCCGCTGGGCAAGGTGTTCTTTCGGAGCTATTCTATATATACTGCTTTGACTTCGGAACTTTGTTAGCGCGATTTAGGCTTCGCTGTGTTTCCCTTGTGGCGCGACGACAGGCCCTCCACACTTGTTAAGGGGCCGGTCCTTAAGAAACGCGCAAATAGGCGGTTACGGGTTTAAAAATATTAAAGAACTGACTTCACTGAATGACACAACAAAAAAATCTCAATTAGTTAATAGATGGGTCTACACTTTCACCGTGTGATATTTATAAAAAACATCTTGATTTTCGAGGAAAAAAAATCTTCAACTATGGTAAAACACTTAAAACGGCCTTTTCTATTTTAAAACTCTAGGCCATTTCGTTATTATTTTAGAAAATCTTTTTGGTTAAAACATGAGCTAAAAGTATAGACAACACATTCACCGTTCATTATTTTTACTAATTCAAACCAAAAGCAACAATTTAAGACTAAATATCGTTCATTTTTTAACAGAAATCGTCCATACATTTTAGTATGAAACGGTTAGGTTTCCGTAAGTCGCTTTATATTAGAGAACACGCGTGAAAAAAATTCAGTGCCGCCTAAATTTTCGAGGCGAGTACACAACCGTTTGTAGCCCGATTTGACAAGTAGAGTCGATACATCTATTGTTTGACACTGCATAAGGGTGGGTCGCGAGTGTCGGACAACATTATTTTTATTATTTATATTCTTCGCGTAAATAGACTAACTAGATATGTGAGTTTTATTATGTATTGTTTTTTGTAATTATCCGAAATTAATGTACTTAATAAAATAGTTACTTTAATATCTATTTCAGGTAGATAATATGGGAAAACGCAAAGAAAGTTATTAGAATAAAAAAAATCTAATTAATAATGTAAGCATATGAAGTGAACCACTCGGAAACTCGCCAAGCAAGCAGTCTTTTTCAGGATTTGACTCAACCACCGGTGCAGTGGGGATCCATGATCTGGACCTTAAGTGAATTGTTGATCAATGGGGTTACCCTGTGTGGACTCCACCCATTGCGATATCATTTCAGACTTTCTGGAATAGTTCTGTCCTGCTTGAGTCGTCCGGTTCTTTGTTGAGGTTACCATCCGATTACGATAACGTTTAGGTTATTTTAGTAATATCTTATGCCGAGGTTATTATTGCAGTAGTTAAATTTAGATTGATAACTAATATTTATAATATAGAAGTTTTCTAGTCAGTTAGGCTGTTTTCCAATGTTATGGCTTTTCATTAGTGCTGACAAAATACAAACAATAACTCTGTGTTTCCCTTTAAGTGAGTTATCAAAATCAGTATTCAAAAGTATATAAAAATTTTTTTCTTCAGAAAAATCAACATAAAAATAGTCAAATTAAATTTAAATAAAAGAATACTTGTAAATTGTATACGAATTGATTACATCTTACAAAACACAAAAACCTTAATTAACATAAGTATTTTTTATTGGTCGTTGTATATTATACGCGTATACTAGACGACACTTTTACGATCATTTGAAGTGCGTGTAAATTTTGGGGATTTTCCTATACTAAAGTCCTACGATGACGAGCGGGTAGCGGGTTTGAGTTTGAGGAGCGTGCGAAACGCGGCTTATTTTATAGTAATTTTATTTTGTTTATTACATTATTTTAATGTGGATCTATTTAAAAATAATTTCTGTTACATATTCTTTATCGAATAAAGTTTTACATGAAAGATGATACATTTCTCCTACAAATAGTTGCAAGTTTGAAATTAATCACAACATTTTATACTTGAAACAAGCTTTTCTGTTTTAAATATTTATTCCAAATCTCTAATTAGAAATAATGTGGTTTACAGCATAAATATCCAATAAAAATGTGCATTGACGTTGAAAGAATATTCACCACTCCAAACAATTTTTTTAATAAGATAAGGGTGACAAACCAGCACACAGTCCACCTGATGGTAAGTGGTTGCTGTGGCCCATAGACTCTACATCTATCTTCGATTAAGAATCAAAATGCAGATATATTGTCACCCGTGTGGACTAAGATGGAATGCCTCATTTCCAGTAAGACCCTTTGTCTCCGGTTGTAGTGTAGTGTAGAGCACTCACCATACGAAACACAGCAGCACAGCGTTAAGCTGCTATTTTACGCTGGTATTCTGTGAGAGCGTTGTCCTTTCAGTCGAGCCGACCCATTCGTGCTGCGGTAAGTGACTACTGCAGCTGAACACTTGCCACCAACTTCAAACAAAGAAGACTACAGATGCATTTACAGATTTCCCCGGTTGAGCTGACCCATTCATGCTACAACCATAATATAGCTGCAGCATGGCTCTACCACGTATAAATCTCGTCTAATCTCGTGGGTGTGGTAAAAGGCAGATGGAAATCAGGAGATGGGTAACGGCATCTTCCGAACAACAACTAGTTTCAAGGAAAAAAATGCGGTTGTCAACCCGCCTGGGAAAAGTGGAAACTATGAAAAATACCCCCTTATGAGGTTTTCCGTTGGATAGGCTTATGTTCAGTAGTTGACTTTGATAGATCGTAATGAATGAATGAACAATGTATATTTGATCTTAACATAGTTTTAGAAACTGTTAGAACACTTCAAAACATCGTCATCTACGTAGAGGAACTAAGATTTTTTCTCGTTAAGTGACTTCGTAAAATGATTTTTGTAAGATAATTTATAATATGAAATAAATATGAACGTATTAAATATTATTAGGTATTCAAGAAGAGATATGGAATTTTCATAAACTACAAGCATATTATTAAGATATTTTCATTATTATTTCTATTATATTTAAATTTAAAGTTTCTGAGAATAACTGTATCTAGAAAAAATACTGGAAATAACTTCGCTTTTAGCACTAATGTTATTATAATATATACATTTAGACGAAACTACTTTATAGTATAAACCATAACGTTATACCCATTTATTTAAAGAAAACACGAATTAAATAAAATCTTTCTTCTTAGCAGTAAAAAATAGCCGCAATGGTTGCAACATATAAGATATGATCCGCCATCTTGAAAGATACTGTCATCATTCACTTGGATCATTCACACACAAAACTTAGGGGTGCGCGCGTTGCGCAGCGGCTCGCTTTAAAAAAATGATGTATCTGCCATGTCAGAGACCTCACAGTGGCCGTAGGTATGTCGGCACTTGTCGTTTAGTTCAGATGTAAATAACATTTTTAGAAATAATAAATTTAGTAAGTTATTTGATTAGAAACGCTAAAATCCCATTCATAGTACACCTATACGTCCCTGAAACAACCAACGGATTGTTTGTTACATACTGTATAAATTGTTTAATCCACTGTGATTGTTTAAATCTTTATTAACCTTTATTATTTTAAAAAAGATCATTCTTACGAAACCCACATTTCCCATATTACACAAAACATTGATAATATTTTAATTTTGTTCATAAATAAAAAGTAATAATTAAAATAATACCTAGAAAGCGTACACTCTGGCCCCACCCTTTGCCGTCAGCTATTAATTACGGGCTCGCGTACTTCGCAATGTGATAAACAAATGACATAAAAAAATTGCAAATGGCTACATACAATGCGTGTTTTTTGAGACATTCATGAACATCCTACGAAGACGAACGCGTGATGAATATGTAACTTGTGCAAAACACCAAAAGTAATTTATTCATGTCCAGGGTGCATATACTAACACTGCGAGATGCGCCTGTGTGGCTAGAAAATGTCAATGTAGGTGTTCTATTAGAAGTTTCCACGCTCAAGGACTACAGTCTTAAGTGCGGGATTCGAACCCGCGTCCCTTAGCGCCGCAACTCATTGATAAGCCACTGCGTCACGGAATCGTCTATATTTCTATAGATAAATAAAATTTCTTATTTGCGAGATTAAAAATGTTTTATCTTACACATAAACTTGCAATTTGATTAAATACTAATTAATCGACGATTAAATCAGTTCATTTATAACTTCAAAAAGATTCGTTATCGACTTATATGAAATAAAGATAAAAAGCCATATATAAATCGAGAGACTAGATTATAAAGACTAATTACTCTTAATTTAGGAACAAAAATGCGTATCTATCTGTTGATCGTTTCCTGCCTGGTGGCGTTTGTAGTCGCCAGAGCTCCCCCGCCTTTTGTGGAGCCCTTGATGGACTACCACGAAACGGTAGGAATTCCTCTCGCAACGAGGATTAAGGAGGCCGAGGATGCGATCATGATGGGGGCAGACAACGTGGTGAATGATGTAAGGATTGTTGGTGGAGCCGTCGCGCCAGTCAACGCTCATCCATACTTGGTAAGATATTGGCTTATTTTATTATTATACTGTTTCCTCTTTATTAGCCCGCTATAGCCCACGGCCTCTCCCACAGTATAGAGGATTTCACATAATCATCATACTTGCCCCTGCCAAATAGATTGACGATCATCTTAGATCTTTCATGCTGCTTCCCATCGCCGGCCAGGCGTTGTAAAATGTATTTGATCGCCTCGTTGGTCGTCAGTCGTAAACATGTCGACGACTCGACTGATGATCATGAGGCTCCCATGTTCTAATTCCGGGTCGGGTCAAAAATTAGCTATTGGATTTTACTACCAAGAAATTCTCAGTAGCACCCTGGAGTCAAGATAGGTTGGAGTCAGGTGTTTCACCCTCGTGCCTAGAACTTAAAGCTGTAGGTCCTGCGCTGATCTCTCTCCGATCATGCTTACACACACATTAATTTGTGCACTGTAATCCTGTCCTGCGCAGATGGCTAGTCTCCGTTAAGGCCGCCGTGACCAAATTTCGGTCTAGACGACATAATTATATACCTACTATACTATATTGATTTGAAAGTGTCATTTAATCATTTGTATTATTTCAAAATTAATGGACAGTTATACGTAAAGAACGATTCGTGGTATACAACAAAGTTAACAATAAAAACGCGTTTTGTACGTGGTAGAGCCATGCTGCAGCTATATTAGTAGTATAATTGTAGCACGAATGGGTCGGCTCAATCGGAGAAGGACCCCGCTCTCACAGAATACCAGCGTCAAATAGCAGCTTAACACTGCTGTGTTTCGTATGGTGAGTGTAGAGAACCGGAGACCCTTTTTACTGGAAAAGAGGCATTCCATCTTATCCTCACGGGTGACGCATCTGCATTTTGATTCGCAAACGAGGATAAATGTAGATGTCAATGGGCCACAGCAACCACTTACCATCAGGTGGACTGTGTGCTCGTTTGTCACCCTATCCTATAAAAAAAAAAAAACAAGAAAATATATTGAAGGGTACCTATACGAATGAAAAACTTTCCTTGTTATGAAGTTTTGATTACGGCAGCCCGACTTTAATGATGGGAAGATTGGATTGATTAATGTATCAAGCGCCCTTCGAGATTTATCTTTGAAATAATTGCTTTGATTGAAAAGATTATGATAACATTGAATATTAGAAAAAACTTTATCATTTTCATTACCTACCAACTGTATTTCCCAAGTACAGTCGACAAAATGTAATTATGACCCACCCTAAGCGTGATTTTTCCTAATAGTTTTGCCGACACTTTCATACATCAAGTCTAAAATTCATATGACAGTATATGAATATATCAATAATTAAAAAATGGTCATATAGCTCAAAGAACCGACAACCTATGGGGATGAAAGGTTTTCGAGTAACAGCTTCATACAGGCAAACGAAGTGTTGGGCGTCCTCCCACTAGATGGAGTGATGACCCGTCGATGTCGAAGTGAAGTCGATGCATGCATAGATCGTACTATGCGGCAATCTATGGCCTATGGGGGTGTATGTTCATTAGTGCCCTTGTGATGGTCTAGCAATTGTAGTAGATAGAAGATAATATTGATACTTGGCCATATTTCACAAAAGAATTTTTGTCAACTTATGTTTTATATTATTTTATAAGAAAAATAATCTTAAGAGTTTTTAAAGAAACATATTAATTTTCAATCCAAATTGCAACGTCTGTAAAATATTTCGGCACCAATGACAATAATTGTTAATTGTAGTTCTGTGGACAGGAACGTGTTATGGCAAACACTGAACTCATTTGGGTTGAGCGCTGGCTTGATACAGGCATTAAGGTCTCTTTATAGGGACTCTAGTGCTTGTGTCAGGATCAACGGGGTCTACTCGGACTGGTTTGGCATTCATAAAGGTGTCAGACAGGGATGTGTGGCTTCCCCGTGGCTGTTTAACCTATTTATGGACAGTTGTTTGCAAACTTTGAAAGTTGAAGAATGTGGGTTGAGAATGGGTGAGTCAACCGTGAAATGCCTTTTGTACGCCGATGATCAAGTCATATTTGCATCGTCGGCGGCCGAGTTGCAAATGATGGTAACTTTAATGAATTGTTCATTGAAAGAAAGGGGTATGAAAGTGAACGCAAGTAAGACGAAAGTGATGGTTTTTGAAAGAGAAGAAAGTAAAACTTTATGTAAAATAAGAATAGAAGGGGAGTTGATTGAGCAAGTGGATGAGTTTGTATATTTGGGATGTTTATTTAGCAGGGATGGTAGATATGATAAGGATATAGAACGACGAGTGAACGCAGGAAATAGAGTGAATGGGGCTCTACACGCTATTGTGAGGAGTCAGAATGTGTCAACTAAGGCACGTATGGCAATTCATAATGCTGTGTTAGTACCCACTTTAATGTATGGTAGTGAAAGTTGGGTCTGGCAGAAGAAGCATGAGAGTAGAATAAATGCTGTAGAAATGCGTTCCTTAAGGAGTATGCTAGGGCTGAATCTGAATGACAGGGTGAGAAATAGTGTAATAAGAGAAAAGTGTGGTTTGCAAGATGACGTTGTGACAAGGATTAAGAAAGGAATGCTTCGGTGGTTTGGTCACGTAGAAAGAATGAACGAGGAAAGAGTGACAAAGCAAATTTATGTTGCAGAAGTGAACGGCAGGGTCGGGAAGGGACGCCCTAGACGAAGGTTTATCGACCAGATCGGCGATACATTGAAAATGGGCCAGATTAGGAGTACCCTTAACCGACGAGCGTGTATGCGTAGATATATGGATGTGAAAGAGGCGAGAGAGGTGTGTCAGGATCGCGCCAAATGGAAGTCCGTAGTCTCTGCCTACCCCTCTGGGTGACAGGCGTGAGTGTTTATGTTATGTTATGTTGTAGTTCTAACTAAAGATATACCATGTTCTCGGTGATGAAAGAAAACATTGCAAAAAAATCTTCAGTGCAGCGATGTATGCACTGAATTTTATTTTAAATCTATTATTTAGACAATTTTAATGATGAAATATCTTTGTGAAATTTCGTGTAGGTGGGTTAGGACGAATATTATAAATTGTATTGTAAGTTTTAAAGTTTATAATAACTGAAAAGGAACGACGTCATTATCATTGATTAAAAACATGGTAGTTATATATTACCAACACAATTTTCGGGCATATATTTAATTGCTGGATTTGTGATATGTGAAGTTTAGGCTGTTAGCCCAAGGTTTTTATAAATGTATATTTTATGTTGTCATATGTATGAAGAACCTCTTCTGTCACCATGTCCGCTTCGCAATAGTCTTGACGATTATCGGCTCAGTTTTTTAGATTTACTGATTACTGATCGATTTATAATCATCTGTTCTTGGGAAAGAAATTTGAGTCTTATGCCTTTTATCTGATAGGTTTCTCATACCTTTTTTAAATTAAATTCATGTATTTTCGACAGCACTTGCTTATTATACTTTGCAATGTTTTTTATTCCTTTTTATTATATTTTAGGCAGGTTTACTCATCACTTTTGTGAACAGCCCGGGAACCTCTGCTTGTGGCTCGTCGCTTATCTCCGCCAACAGACTGGTCACAGCAGGACACTGCTGGTATCACTCACTGCAAGCCAGCCAGTTCGTCGTGGTACTCGGCTCTCAGTATCTTTTCTACGGCGGCACTAGGATTGCTACCTCTACAGTCTTCGTGCACCCCCAGTACTCTCCCAGCGCATTAGTCAATGACATCGCTGTGATCTACCTTCCAACAAACGTCTACTTCTCCCGTAAGTCATTTATCTCAAAGTACAAAATAATTATATTATTAAAAATCGTTATATAACATATTACTAAAAAAAATCGCTGATAATAAAGAGTAATTAGACTTTTTTTATAGGATAGGGTGACAAACGAGCACACAGTCCACCTGATGCTAAGTAGTTGCTGTGGCCCATACACCTACAGCTATCCTCGTTTGCGAATCAAAATAGAGATGCGTTGTCAACCGTGACTACTACGATGGAATGCCTCATTTCCAGTAAAAAGGGTCTCCGGTTCTCTACACTCACCATACGAAACACAGCAGTGTTAAGCTGCTATTTTACGCTGGTATTCTGTGAGAGCGTAGTCCTTCCCCGGTCGAGCCGACCCATTCGTGCTACAACTATACTACTAGGCAAGCGAATTCACGATCGCTACCTACTAGACGTCGCGCACCTTTTCGCTTCTGTTCGTCGTCGTTCCTATTAACGTCTGGTGTAATGTAAACCATATGGTTATACCGGCAAATGGAGTGATGGATACTCGCGATAAAGGCACAGTAGTTAAACAACCGAAATGTTCTTACATGGCTCATGGGATGGTGAAATGGTTTATTTATATATTAAGTTGCCAGCCTAAAATTAAATACATGAATAATGCACTTGTCATACATATATGTTTTTATGTAATTATTTAAAATGAATTGATATAGATATTAGAGTTAGGCTGCGCTGTATTAAGCGTGTAGCACGAATCGGCAGAACCGGGGAAGACCCACGTTCATACTCACAGATTACCAACATAAATTAACAGTATAATGCTACTGTATTTCGTATTTCGTACAAGAATCAGAGACCCTTTTCATTGGAAACGAGGCATTTTCTCAGGGGTGAAAATCGCGTGGATTTTGATTTTAAGAATAAATGTCTATCTTTTTATATATCTCTACGTGGTAGAGTAACATTGCAGCTATATTATGGTGGTTATAGCACGAACGGGTAGGCTCGACCGGAGTAGGACCTCGCTCTCATAGAATTCCAGCGTAATGCTGCTGTGTTTCGTATGATCGGTGTAGAGAACCGGAGACCCTTTTTACTGGAAATGGGGCATTCTATCTTAGTCCTCAGGGGTGACAACGCATCTGCATTTTGATTCTTAATCGAGGATAAATGTGGGTACATCTACTTACCATCAGGTGGAATGTGTGCTCGTTTGTCACCTTTATACTACTAAAAAAATATCTAACATGAAGGTCGATCAATGGGCAACATTTAATTCCGTCATCCATGTTGACACTACTCTGGAGGCGTGGAGCGATAGTCTCGATTTTCAAGAAAGGCGACAAATCTCTCTTAAAGATCTACAGACCGATCACCCTTCTTAGCCGTGTCTACGTGCTGTTTTCGAGAGTCATTACTAATAGTCTTGCACGCAGACTCGACAACTTCCAGCCTCCCGAACAAGACAGTTTCCGAAAAGGCTCTAGCACCATAGTTCATGTCACACCTATGCCGGTAGTTGTTTGGAGCACTAAGCTCAAAGTAGTTGACGAGTATGTTTACCTGAGACAAATAGTCAGACTAGGTAAGTCCAACTTCGACCGAGAGGTCAATCGACGGATTCAACTCGGCTTGTCAGCGTTCGGTAGATTACAACACATCTTGTCGTCAGGAATACCTCAAAACTTGAACAGAAGATTGTACAACCAGTGCGTGTTGTCAGTGACGACATATAGATCTGAGATGTGGACGTGGTCCTTTACCATATGGAGAGGGCTATGCTCGGGGTTACTCTGCGTCATTAACTTAGAAATGAGGATATCCGCAGTAGAACCAGAGTAACCGACATAAGCCAAAGGATTAGTAAACTGAAGTGACAAGGGGCTAGCCATACATACTACATTTAAACTTATCAATCGTTAATCACTTACGAACTCGTAATACGGACAATTTGTGTGATAATGAAGTATTGTAGCATTTAGGATTATAAGAGAATAGTTCTTTTTTATATTCTTTAACCTCACTTGAATTATTACCGATACATAGCTATGTGTTCCTACCGACTTCAAAAAGGAGGAGGTACACAATTTGACTGTATGTATTTTTTATGCGTGTTACCTCATAACTTTGTTCTACGTGAACCGATTTCGTTGATTAATTTTTATTTAAAAGATGGTGCTTCTCATGTGGTCCCATATAAATTTTATCAAGGTCTGACCTATAGTTTTTGAGTTACTCTTAATAATTTATATTGAAGTCGGTTGTACAAAATTTTTAATTTTTAATTATTGTGCACAAATATTACCTTTTGCTAGGATTCGAACACAGTACGCGTGACGCAGTAACCAAGTACTCAGCCCATTAAAATACTTAATTTCTTGTTACAGCGAGCATTCGGCCCGTCTCGTTGCCCAGTAGCAACCAATTATGGGACTCATTTACGGGCGCATGGGCTGTCGCCGCTGGCTATGGCAAAACAAATGACCGTAAGTATTTAATATTTAATAGAAGTGATGTGTAATATTTTGATTAATAATTTAATATTAATGTTTTCAATATTGGCCACTCAATCAAATGCCGCCTTTGATCGCTTCGTGGCTGTTTTGAACATTTTGTAGCCAATACCAGATCTTTTTAGCACTTTTCATAGTCGCCTTTTACGACATGCTCTGATTTGATAAAGAGGGACTTTTGGGGATGAAAGAGGTTATGGATTCTTTCCTGCGGCCTTATAAGCGTAGGTACATTTTGACGGCCTCGTAGGTCTAGTGCTTCGTATCCCGGGTCGGGTATCAACATCAGTTATTGAATTTTTCTGTTAAGAAATTGTCGGTAGCAGCCTGGAGTCAGGAAGTTGGCGGTGTTTCACCCCCGTGTCTCGGAAAGCACGTAAAACCGATGGTCCTGCACCTGATCTCTCCGACAGTGTCGGTAAACGAAGTGGGAGCTTTTCTGCAGGGTTCCGTATCGTTCAGAAGTAGACTTCTTCTTGACCATAGGTGTTATGTGAAGTTAAATAAAACTATTCTTTTTATAAGAAACAAAAGCTGCTTTGTGGAGTGTAGCTTGTAGGGCAGCGTGGCGTTATAAGGAGATGACTGTTGAGCGAGTAAGGAGCGAGTAATGTCAGAGGTGGGTCATAGCGTGTCTTTTATTTTGTACCTTTAGTTGCACAACTCATGGTTTACCGTTTCTTCGGATTATGAGAGTGAGGAAATAGAGAGTACAACTTCGCTTGTGTATACATTTGGACACTATAATCACAGTTTAAAGATAAGGTCTTTAAACTGTGCTATAATCCTGTCCTGCGGAGATGGATAGTCTCCGTTGGGACTGACCGCCCTGACCTAAATTCGGTCTGCAGGACATTTTTATTATTATTATTATTTAATAATTTAAAAATATGCCAAAAGGGCATAATCAATGCAGTATGTTTGTTAAACTCGCAAAAAACGTTTCAGAGCAAGTTGGTGTATCAGTTTCGTCTATAGTCAGCCATGTCAACTTACAAGTGATCACGGTTCAGCAATGCCAGGCAGTGTTCGGCTCTTGGGCTACATCTGGCAACATCTGTACGAACGGCGCCGGCGGAGTTGGCATCTGTGGAGGAGACTCTGGCGGTCCTCTGGTTATTAACCGAAACGGACAGAATATTTTAGTAAGTTGCATATTTTGTTATTAACATTAAAAAAAAAACAATGGGACAGCATAAATAATAGAGGCCTCTAACCATTACAAATTTATTCTGTGCCATTACTTACTGAGTTGCGTCATGACTGTGAGCGATTAGTACCTACTTGGTCCTTTTTGCCTTCACGCAGTTACGTCAACTATCAAACTATCAAATAAGCAAATAAGACATTGCAAGGGCCCGCTATCATATTGAAATTTGGAAAGCACATTGTGATTGTAGATAACAACATTTCCATTATGATATCCTGGTGGCTGTGGCTAGGTTCGTTTCCTCCTCCTCCTGCTGGAGATCTTTACTGGTTACTACTATTGTGTTTTTGTTTACACGTTGAAAGTAGATGGCAAAAGGTAATCAGAAACTGATCTGAAGTAGTAGCGAAGATCGTCTCCTCTTGAGGAAATTAATTGATAGCGGTAATGCTTTGAGTTTTGTTATGCATAGTGACATTGGGTACGAAAACGATACAATAATGATGACTCTATTCCGCAGATAAGATGGGAATGGAAGGAAAATAGAATACAGATTTTGAAAAAAGTATTTCAAATGCAAAATATAAATTGGTATTTTGCATTTTGTACATATTAGCATTTTATATATGTGTATTTCAAATAATTCACATCTCAGTTGACGATGCAGCCTGGATCGTTTTCAAATATGGTACGCATATTGTGATTTGAGAGGAAAACAACCACAATTATGTCCAGGTGCTGCGAACAACATCGTCTCTTCAAGAGGACTTTTAGCAGTTCTCGTACTACTGCCTTGAAATTTACTTTGAGACTTATCAATTCTTCTTGCGGGAACTTGAAAATTGATATGGTAAAATGTGGTAAAAATTTTATGGTTAGAATACAAAAATGTTATATTAAGAAAATACTTACTTTGCAATCCCCGAGCGGTTGGACAGATTCCAAAGAATATATTCCTAGCTATTCGGACTTCGTTATGCTAAAAATATATTTGTTTAGATATTAAATTGTGGAGGGAGTGATAGGTGTAATATCCCATTAGTCGTCTTTTACGACATGTTAGTTAAATAGCATAGTTGGCACATTCTGTTTTGTTATACGTAAACATATAAGGACCAATACAATTTCCGAACCAATGTGGAACATTATCAAACATAATTTAATATGGGACATTTTCTAACGTGGTAGAGCCACGCTGCAGCTATATTAAGGTGGTAGCACGTATGGGTGGCTCGACCGAGGAAGGACAACGCTCTCACAGCATACCAGCGTAAAATAGCAGCTACATGCTGCTGTTTCGTATGATGAGTATAGAGAAGCGGAGGGCCGTTTTACTGGAAATGACATTTAACTTTTTATTTCTTATTCGAGGATAGATGTAGATGTATGTCGTCAACAACATCAGATTACCATCAGGTGGACTGTGTGCTCGTTTGCTACTCTTATTCTATAAACAAAAAAACATCAATGCACAATTAGGAATCAAGATGCAGATAATTTGTTTACCTAAGGCTAAGATAGAATGCCTCTTTACCTTCTAGCAAATCTAATGTATAGTGAAGAGCTGAAAAATCCCTTTCACTTTGAATAGTAAGCGATCTACAATGACTGTCAATTTACTCTTACACAAACTATTGAAACAGAAACAGAAACCAATATAGATATAGATTATAAATAATACTTATTGAAAGTCACTTTTTGTTTAATTACCACTGGTTCTGGGATTTTGTTGTAAAAGCGTATACATCGCCCCAAGAATGAATTACTGACTCGGTAGAGTTGAGTAACTGGTACTACTAGCTTGTGTGTGTTCTTAGTATTTACAGAATGAATATCACTTATTTTTGTATAACTACCTTAATTTTTGTGTATGTACATTACATTTTTATGAATGTATTGAGAGTTAATATATTAATTGCCTTAAATTTTGTCGGAGCGACTCTTTAGGTTTCAACTCATAGATTGCTCTTATGGCCTTCTTCTGTAAAAAAAATATAATTTCAGTGTCAGTCGCGTCGCCCCATATAAAAATATCATACGACATGCTATTAGAAAATTATTCCAAGAAAAAGTCTATTAATAGTAATTTATTAAAAAAAACTTGTTAATAACTGGGATTGGTTGTGTAAAAAGTTTATATGTTCGACATGGGGGTAGAAGTAAGGTTAGATCTTGAAACCCCAAAACTAAAAACACTGTACTTTTTACTGCTCAAGCGAGTATTGTACTACTGTGAACTAGCCGAAAGTAATTCTACAAGTCTTGATCTGTGTCTTGATTTTGTCCGTGGTGGTAATTTTTTTGTACAAGCACAGAAGGTCGGTGCGGATAGTAGGGGATCAATATAATCGGAGAGACACTCTCCTCGATTTTATTGATGTCATAGCATAACTGATTTATTTATTTTTGTTTCCAGGTGGGCATTAGTTCATTCGTAGCAAACGCTGGCTGCGAGCTTGGTTATCCATCTGCTTTCACAAGAGTTACCAGTTTCTATAATTTCATCACACAACATATGTGAAAAACCAAAGAAAAAAAATTATTCTCATAAAATAATGTCATTCGATTTTGTATAAATAAAAGAAGAGTGCAAAAGATGTAAATTTTGTTTGATTAAGTGCAAACCGATATGGCAACGCACATACAATTTCTTCGGTGTTGCAGTTGTGTGTGGCGACCATTGAGTTATATGTACTACGTACTAGAGAAGCCATTCCGAACATTGACTATGTTCAACTGAACTGTAGTGCAATCCCTACAAACTAAATATTGCGTAAATTGAAGATTTGTGAATTCCATAAAATAATTATTATTACATTTTATTTAGAAATATAAAATGTTTATTTAGATGAAATTAAGATATTTTATATTAAATTCTTATATTTATTTTATATTAATACCTTATTTTATATTAAATTAAAGTCTTCGCGCATGCGCGACTACTACTCCCGCGCATGCGCGAAGACATAGAGTAGGACACAGTTTTTGTTTGAAATGGCTTCTCTAGTACGTAGTACATATAACTCAATGGTGGCGACGGTTTCTTATTCAGGTAAGCCGCGTGCTTGTTTGCCCCTCCTACAAACAATTAAACGGAGTACATTCAGAGTTGGGCGCCCTGAAATTGTTAAATACAGCACATGTGCGAAGGCAAACAAAAATATTGTGATGCAACCTATAATTGCATAACAACCTGCACTATGACCACCCCATCCTTGTTCCAAGCCTTTTCAAAAATGAAAACGAGCTTGCAATAGGGTGCATCGAGTAGGTTATTTTTTTTAAATTGTTAGGCATTACACTACCGAATGATAATTATATAATAAGTTACCGCCTATATACATCCCACTGCTAGGAACAAGCCTCTTCTCACTTCTGAGAGGGTTTTACGGCAAGTAAGTGTCCGCCGCGCTGCCCCAGTGCGTGTTAGCGGACTTCACAAGTCTTCAAAATATTTTTTTAATTATTTCTCAGACATGCAGCTTTCCTCACGATAGTTTTCTTCACCGCCGAGGTTCAGGTGGTAAATTAGCACTTACAATTGCAATTAACAATTTTATTGGCACCGGCAGGGAGTGAACCCGGGTCGCTCGCGTACTGTGAAATTTACAGCGAGTGCTAAGCCCCTGGGCTATCGCGACTCCTATTATATAATTTACAGGGTTATTTTGCAAAAATCTGCCAAATTTGCAGAGAAAATTCAGATAATTAATGTAGGCAAATGGTGAAGAAAAATTAATTTAATAAATCTCAAACATTTGTCCTTTTTATCTTTTAAATTCGAAATGCGTGGTAATGCATTGATGCATATTGATTGTCATTCATAAATATCTAACGCCTACTATTTTACTACGCACGAACACATTTATAACGGTTGATGGGTGGGCAAAAACGTTACGAATTGAATCGCACACAGAGGAGCGCGAGTATGCGAAGTTGTTACCATATGGGCCACATTCATTTTGGGATAATTTCAAATAAAATATTACTTGCCTTATTTACTTGCTTTATACTATGCCTTATTTACTCGTATTTTCAAAAACTGCAATAACGGTTTATCATTATTTATATATTTGAACTTAAGATTAAAATTCGGCTACTCTTTGAAAAATAACCCTGTATATACAAACTAGCCTTCTTGTTCATCATCAGCCGCGATTTATAAGGGCCTCTCCCTTTTTAGGGATTGATGAGTGCAACAGATACTATAAGTCTCGCGTGTTCGCAATCTTTCGTTGTCTGGATATCTTGTCTGATGGAAACGAAATGATTAAACCACCTTCTGTTGGAAGCCACGAGGTCACGACAGTAATTATTACGACACCAACGGTATAAAATGGTAAAATATTTCATTGAATATGATTTAAAAAAAAAGAATATTTGTTATATCTACTCTATAGATTACATTCACTCAGATATATTTTTGTCTTTGCATGAAATAGGTAGAATGGAAAAAAGAAAAAAAAAACATCATTCAAGCTCTTTTATTTTGACCACCAATTCCGTGATTAATCTTTTAGTCACAAGTCAGATGACCACACAAAAGCTTGTCAAGACCGTATTATGCTAAAGTAGCAAAGCACCAAGTGCAATGTCACTTTTCCATTGACACTATTATTTATTATTATTATTTACTTATTACACTTACAATTTGATATTTTATCCAATAAGGTACCTCAACGTGATTTATTTGAGTATTTAGATACAACAAATAGGTGTCCTACACGAAATTTAAAATGTGCGACGTAAGCTTGAATTCACATGTGTATATTATGTATAATATATTTTTTTTTGTAAACCGCATTCAAATATGCGATTTGAATTTTAAAAATCACAACATCAACTTTACATATAATATCATGCAATATTTTAGAATTTATTTCATAATCATAAACATTGCTGTCGGTAATTTGATGTTACAAATTTATGACTACGAAATAATGCGACTAGAAACAAACCTTATTTTTTTACCTATAATTCTAGATAATGGTGCTCACGATTAGTGAAATTCTAGAATATGATTAAAAATTATGAAAGTAGATAGATTAAATTATTAATTGTGGCTATATCAAAAAAGTCTAACTTCGTTCGATGTATCAATAAAAATAAAAAATAAATCATAATGTTAGGACCTTATCATTAAAATATTTCTAAATTAATGTTTTGTAAATAAGTCTCTAATAGTAAGATGATAAAAAGTAATACATAGCAAGGTCCTGTTTAAAAAATAAACTAAACAATGATCTAAAACTATGAATCTAATATTAAAATTATTTACAAGCCTTTCCCTCAAGTACCCTATAGTAATTAAATTTAACCCTGAAATGACAATTCCGGTTTAATTTTTAAACATATTATTTACATTACATAATGCCAAACTTACTCAAATACAGACAATAAAAGGGTAAAATATATAATTTATATTCTTAATAAATAAATATCATGTAACTGTTTATCAACGAAAATATGAAATATTGTAAACCTAAAAAGGAAGTATTAATTAACAAACTACCATAATACGATATCACAGTTCATTTATGCAAAAAGTAATTAAATATTCGATTTCACTAAAATGCTTAAAATGGATTAAATTACAAAAATAACAGTTGTTATGGCATTACAGTTATCAACGGCATTATGAAGAATGAAATATTATTGATAAAAATATAGTGCAGAGCAGCACTAAAGTATAGCGATGAGTGTTTTTATTTTCATGTACGTAACATGAATACAAATTAATGTATTTGTTTAATGGAGACGAAACTTTCTTTTTCTAGCAAATCGAAATTGACATTAAGAAACTGAAAATCACAATCAAGAGATTTCTACAATTATTTCGTCATTACGTTTGTGTTAGCTATCAGCACCTAGATATCAACTTAAAAATAAATGAAACACGACTTAAAATTAAATGATCACAAACAATTAAAATTGTCTCTATTTTAGTTTACTTTACTGACAAGCTTTACAAGCGATAATTTTATTATTATGTTCTTAACAAACAAAACTATCAACTATATTCGCGGCAGACACACGTTACATTTTTAGAAATAAAAACAATTTGTACAAATATGTGAGTGAACGGTGAATTGGCTAAACGTTTGACGCTTTATGTAGGGCAAAGGACCTTTAAGATATAGTCCGTTAAGAGCGTGGGCACCGTAGGGCTGTCTTCGTTTATCGCCTTCAATACTGTAACACAAGTAGTAATAGATATATAGTTATAATGTATTACAATTTTTTTTATAGGATAAGGGTGACAAACGAGCACACAGTCCTCCCGATGGTAAGTGGTTGCTGCGGCCCATAGACATCTACATCTATCCTTTATTAGAAATCAAAATGTAGATGCGTTGTCACCCGTGAGGACTAAGATGGAATGCCTCATTTCCAGTAAAAAGGGCCTCCGGCCACCTGCACTCACCAAGTGAAACGCAGAGGTAAACCTCTACTTCACGCTGGTATTCTGTGAGGTCGTGGTACCACCCCGGTTCGAGCCGGCCCATCCGTGCGACAGCAAAAGCTGCCGCCTGGCTCTACCACTGTTAATTACAAAATTATTTATAAATATGTATGTATATGTAGGTATATGTTTAATTATATAGAATATTAAAAACTATAATAATAAAAAAAAAAACTAAAACTAGAAACTTAATTATCATATAGTCCTACTCCCCGCGGTATCGTGCCAAGAACGCTGGCTGCGTTTCCCCGCTGAATGGCTATACTTAGCCTTTGAGCGAGAAAAGAACCAGCCCCCTTATCACCAGCGGCAACGACTAGCCGCGGATGGAGTTCCTTTAGGAACTTCACCGCATGTGGACCGAACGGATCGATAGTCTCTACAGCAAATGGCACAAATATGAAGTAGTAATAACAATTAAACAAAATCCCCTTGTTAATAATGGGAAAGCCTGCACCAACACCCAGCTGAATGTTGCCTCACCAGGGGGATTTTGCCATAGTTGCCCCCACGGATGCAATACTTCGTATTTGCTCCGTGGTTGCCACGCTTGGCATACGGGTTGGCAACCGCAGTTTTTTTATTATTTTGAGTTGTTATTAGTAAGATGCTGCTGGCACTTACGACACCCATGGGACGATATGGTATAGGATATTCTAACACCGCCACTAAACGGTGGTTGTTTATACTCTGTATAGTCACCATTTAGCGGCGAATGTAACATACTTATGTTCTATGATAATGTAGGTCAGCGACAGCGACAGCGATAGGTATAACCGATATAATACTCACGCGATAATAACGAAAGCAAACTGGGATGCAGTGTCCGAGACGGCTAATTCACTTTATAAGACGGCCAGACCAAAAAATCAACAATGTCATTTTGCACGTAAATCTGCAGCAATTTGAGTTCAGGAACCTAAGACCCGAGGTTTCATAACAAGGTTGTCATACTTATACATAATTACATTTTAAATTATGATTGTCATTTTTCCGTTTTTATATGCAAGTAATTATTTTCTCAAAGTGCACACAGTAGGAACAGTAGGTCTTATATGATTAACCGTAAGACCTACCACATAAATAAAATTGTTATATCGATCACACTGCTTAGTCGATTTGACTGTTTGTGGCGCGCACAGTCGATCTTGTCGTTATCGCTATCGATTTACTAGTTTTCTCTCTCGGGCGGTAGTTTTGCAGTACTCAATTATAATTAATGATTCCAACTTTCATGATACGTATTAAAGTACCTACTAGCTTTTGATTTGCTTTGCATGCCTAATGCGTAATAAACAAAACAGGAACAGAAGGTATGTCGTTTGAACGGCGCGACTGCACAAATAAATAGAAGCAGATAGAATGTTTAGTTTAGAGTATGCGCCTCCCAACACACAGTAATATACATTGTGCTGCTTTTTATTTTCAACTAAATAATAATTAATCAAAAAGCAATCGATGTGGCCTTTTGATTTTGTCGAGCAACCATCGAGTTGTTAATATGCGGACCTTCGTACATTCCCATGGATTTTCACATGCAACAAACAGCTGTTCGATTAAAAATTGTGTATGTATGCGCCTAGCGTTACAGATATTGTAATAAAACATGTTACACAGGGATTTAAATTAGTTAATTACAAAAAAAAAAAACATTAGTTATTAATAAAATAAAATAATTAAATTTAAGATATTATATTACCATCATCACAGGCCTGACGCAGGTTGAACATAGGCCTCTCCCATAGATTGCTTCATAGCGGTATATATGGCATACTTGCCAAGCTTATCAGCCGGGTTTATGTTTAGGCGGACATTATTTTCTGTATCCTGATCCATTCTATTGTTAAACTAGCTGTTTCCCGCGACTTCGCCCGCTTGTAATTTAGGATTTTAATTATGTTGCGCGGAACCCTAATTCTTTTTCTAAAATATAAGTAGCCTAAGTTACTCCTTATAAGATCAGCTATCTGCCAGTGAAAGTCCCGTCAAAATCGGTCCAGCCGTTTCGGAGATTAGCCGGCACAAACAGAGAGACAGACACAAAGATTTTAAAAATTGTGTTTTTGTTATAAGTTATAAGTACCGCATATACTTTCATATGCATTTAGTAAAAAGCTGTTATTTTGACATTACAAACAGACACTTCAATTTTATTTATTTCTATAGATGTATAGATATATATACCGACCTCGAAACGCGGTGGAGTTATGAATTTTCATATTATGACACTATTATACCTTAGTTAATATTGGCTGACTTACTTTTAATCAGTACTTGCAGCGACTGGTTGTCGGGCGGCCCATTGTCCAGGTGGAACGGTATCACCGTCGTCAAGTACTGCAATGTAAACGTTTTATGGTTAGATTATTTTATTTTTTATCGGTTATGAGAATCAAGGCCTGATTTAACTCTTTAATTTAAATAGGAGGGCGTCCAGAAAGATCGGTAGTACAAATGTTGCTTATTTCGAATTTAATTATTAAAAAATTATATCATCTTGTTTATGCAAGAAGACAATTAAAGTCATGCTAGTGTGCTAAGCCACGGTTAGTTAAGATGAAACTAAAAAGTCAGCACAGGTAAATAATAATAGAATTGAGGCTCTGTGCTCCTAACAAAACAGTAATCAAAAGAGAATGAACAAAAATAAATAAATAATGTGGTTATTTCGGTAATCTTGTTAACAACATAATACTGAGACTTCCCAGTGAGTAATCGGAGGATACTCGAGTTAGGAATGACCCGCTACTTCCCTTAAGGATTACAAAAAGGTTAACCTCTAGAGAATTAGTAATTAGTACGTGTATTAAGGAGTATATCCAAATAGCCAAAGGTGCAATGAGTAGATTAAAAAGAATTTGGCAGAACAGAAAAATCTCTAATGTCACCAAAAAGAGACTTGTCAGAACTTTAGTGTTCTCCATCTTCCTTTATGGCTCTGAAGCATGGACGATTCGAGCAGCAGACAAGAAAAGGATTGATGCGTTCGAAATGTGGTGTTGGAGAAGGATGCTTCGGATACCATGGACCGCTAAGAGGACCAACGAATCGATCCTGGGGCAGCTTCGTGTTGACACCAGACTCTCTACCACGTGTTACCAGAGTATTCTGAGTTACTTTGGTCATATTGCCCGACGCCCGCCTAATAACTTGGATAGACTTATAGTCGTAGGTAAGGTGGGGGGCAAAAGACCACGCGGCCGATCATCTAGCCGCTGGTCAGACCAGGTCAAATCACTCACTGGCCTCTCACTCACGACTGCAATGCAAAAAGCCGAGGACCGGACAGAATGGAGGGCTATAGTGAACAGCGCTACGAAGGCACTAAAATACGGACACGACCTTCAATTTTGAAGAACACGACCAAGAAGAAGAAGAAGAAGATTAAGGAGTATGTGAATGTGAGTGTAGGAGTGTTGTTGTATGTATGATGTAGGGGTGTATGTGTATGTGTTGGTAGATGAAGAAAGCATAAGTAAGAAGACTGCCTTACAAAATAAAATGTTACTGATCAAAATATGAAAGACGGCGTATTGTTAGACTGTTACCTGTAAAATGCATTAGATGTTAGTGAGATAGATGTCAGACAATTCTATTTTGTACTTTCAACCTTGTCATAAGTCACTGTATACAACCAATGCATTAAAGTTTTTTTTGCATATTATATTTAATTGCATAGGATATACTTTAAGTATTTTATTTTATTTATAATATATAAAAGCAGACTGACATGAGTACTGTCTAATAGCAAAGACAGTGCGTACAAGAGGTATAGTGCACACAATATTAGTTCTTCTCTTTTTTTTTGAAGGGATTCATTAAACGGATTTATGACAAAAAAGAGGTTAAGTGACCAAAAACACACACAAAAACAATATATTTCTGAAACAGCTGTTGTACCTTAGGTTCCGAATGGCTGGTGTTTAGATTAGGCGATCTCGGAGGACCTGGTCTCTTCTTCTTCTCTATATGGTATTGTCTGCGTTTGTTCTGGACTGCCAGAAGCAACGATATGAAAGTATTTTTCAGCTCCTTCTCGTATTCCAATTCGTCGCGAAGCGCTAGCTCGGCAATTAATGTCTCAGAAAATTCTCGAATGAGCACCTCCAGTTCCATGAAGATTTCGTTCAACTGGGCAAGGGATAATTGACGGAGTTCTGAAATATAAATAATTCCTTATATAATCAAATCTTGATACATTTTATGTATGCTGTGTTCGTATGGTTAGTGTAGAGAACCGGAGACCCTTTTTATTGGAAATGAGTTATTTCATCATAGTCCTTAGGGGTGACAACGCATCTGCATTTTGATTCTTAATCGAGGATATATGTAGATGTCTATGGGCCACAGCATCTGCTTACCATCCTTATGGACTGTGTGCTCGTTTATCACCCTTACTTAAAAAATAAAAGACATGAACCAGTTTTAAACGGCAAAAGAGTATCCTTTAGTATTACTAGACCTGCATTTTAGCCGGAAACGTTACAAAAACTATAATTATTTAATTCTTGCATTTCATGTCAGGACATACTGTGGCATTACGAGTATTGTCTAGTGGCGGTGTAAAAATATTCCCCTGCCCTTTATCGTCACGTGGGTGTCGTAAGAGGTGACAGACGGAAACAAGTTCTTCGGTAAAAAAATTAATAGACCACGTTTTTAAAACAGACAAAAATTTTTTTCTTATAATATGATATCTTTGTTGTAACTTGGTATGAATTTCGACTTAACATTGCGGGGTGTGATTTTTGAATTAGTATAATCATCTAGTAGGTACTGATTTAGTAGTATGTAATTTAGAAAATATTACTCTATATTGATCAAGGTATAATCTTACATTGTCATTCGATTCTGAGTTCATTTTTAGTTTATGTTCAATTTTTTAGTTTTGCTCATCGGGAAGTTAGTTTATAATCACTTTAAATTCGACCCGAACAGACACACGAAAGAGAGTTAATGAAAACGTGGTAAAAAAAACCAGCGTCTTCGTAACAGCAACTAGGAAAAAGAACTGCGATTACCAACACGCCTGCCAAGCGAGCCAAGCGTGGTAAGTGGCAAATATGCCAAATATCCACCTTATGAGGCAATCTATATCTATCCACAGGGCATGTTCAGTGGTTGACTTTGATAGTCTGTAATGAATAAATGAAAACTGTTTTAATACCGCAGAGGTAACGTTTGTCGCAAATAGAAATGCGATAATAAAGTTATTCAACTTGAGGTCCTTTATCAGCCCACTGTCGAAAACGGGTCCAGTTGCATTGTCCTATTATGTACAATATACTTCAATGTCCAGTCGAAGGAGGAATTGGCTATGAACAAGCGATGACAGTACGAAACGTCTCGCACCTTTATTCGCACTGTTAGCAGTCGCCGTTGCGTTAATTGATCTAGATTAATCTACACATACAACATCTAGGTAACTTTTTTTAGTTTAATACTCTATGCATCTAGCGTATAACAATCCTCAATCATTCCATGACATTTTTAGGGATTTCCACATTTATTTATTAAAATATTACCGAGCAATATTTGTGATTGATTTCTCCTACGTTAGCACCACACGGGGCAAGCATACAATTGCTTTAAATTTGCAAATATTTTTATTATTATATAAAATAATATTTATTATATTATTATTATTATTATTATATATAAAGAAGTAATTTTTAAAGAATAATAATTAATACAATGTTCATATCAATAAACAGTCCAATTACGATGTTTGTATAAACTAGATCATTACATTCCAAATCCATGCGATAGAGTTGAACGCTCGCTGAACAAACACATGTAAACAAAAATCGAAGATTACGACCGAGGTGACTTCTACGAAGTCTGTGCAGTAAAAACACGGTCACTTGATAAGATATTGGATTGCATTTTGTTTGTCATCAGTTTTGGTAATGGACAAAAATTATTTAGGTATTTGTCAATAGTTGCGCATTTATACTTTTTTTATAGGATAAGGTTGACAAGCGAGTACACAGTCCACCTGATGGTAAATTATTGCTGTGGCCTATAGACATCTACGTCTATCCTCAATTAAGCATCAAAATGCAGATGCGTTGACACCCTTGAGGAGTAAGATGGAACACCTCATTTCCAGTAAAAAGCGTCTCCGGTTCTCTACACTCACCATACGAAATAGCAGTGTTAAGCTGCATTTTACGCTTGTATTCTGTGAGAGCGTGGTCCTTCCCCAGTCAAGCCGACCCATTCGTGCTACAACTACACTACTAATATAGCTATAGCATGGCTCTACCACGTAAAAAAATGGCTTTATTTGTAAATGTGCAAATGGGCAGAACAAAGTCAAACAAATGTCATACAAATAATATAAAGACACTCACTAACTATTCTAACCTACCCAGATTGGAAAATAATTTTTTTTTGGAGTTTATGGCCTGGCATCTAGACCTTTAGGCCAATTGGAAAAGAATATTTTTTATTCAAACTAGATTATAAATAATTCTTATTGAAAGTAATTTTTTACTTTTATCACTTCTTTAAAAAATCTGTCCTAAGACTAGAATGCAATATTAAAGAGACGAGAACAAACCAAACTATTAAAAAAAGATCGGCTCCACTATGGAGGGACCACAATCGCTATCTACTATCATAAAATAAAATAGTAAGAACATTACTGCTGTTTCGTGTGGTGAATGACAAGAACTCGTTGCCATATTACTGGCGGCAAGGCAATCCATCTCAGTTCTCAGGTGCGATAGCGTAGCGCATATGTTTTTTGAATCTTAATCGAGGAAAGATATACGTCTATAGCCCACAGCATCCATATACCATCAGGTGAACTGTGTAATGCTTACTTCTATGATGTAGATCATCGGTCAGCAACAGGCGGACCGCGGTCCGTTTGCGGACCGCGAAAGATCGAACCTTGTACCGCCAAATATTGTAATGTATTGCATACCAAGTATAAAAATAATACGTAGATAAGGTATTCTATACCTTTATTATTTGAAATAATATTTTTAAGCCTCATAGAATTTAACTTAGTTACTGTTACTTTTAACTTTTACTTTACTTTTTTAGTTACTTAGTAACCTGGTCTATTTTAAGTTGCCTAGTGAACCTGTTTTACAAGTACCTACATCTGACATGGTTTGATTAGTTCCATGTCTATCTGTGTTTGTGCGAATTAGTTTTAACTGATGTGATTTAAATCTTGGTTACGCACACGAAACATCCACAGATTGAACTACGTACATTATTTAGACGTACGTTATTCAGAGTTCAGACAACTCTTGGATATAAAAGGAGAACTCTGAAGAAAACATTGCAGTGTTTGTTAAATTTCCGGTCGATCTTAGGAACGAATTTGCTACAAGATTCTAAGACTTTGCAGAGGTGGGCAAGCTATCTCCGTTTCTTAAATCGCCATTTGAAGATAATGTAGTGACAGAATGGACGAATGTGGCTTCCAATTTGTTTAATCTGTCAAAGCCATCACTTAAAATGGAGGTAATTGATTTGAAAGAAGATGCGTCTTTGCAAATGTATAAAACGGTATCCTCCGAAGAATTTTGGGCCAAACATGTCCCAGAAAAATATGAAAATTGCAAGAAACTAGCTATAAATTTGGCTACTATGTTTGGCTCGACATACGTATGTGAAACATCTTTCTCAAAGATGAATTTTTGGAAATACAAATAACCTTTGAGATTAACAGACGCTTACCTAGAAGACACACTTCGAATCTGCTATTTCTCTCGAGAACCAAAGTATAAAAAACTGGCTCAAGACCGTCGGTGTAGTTTCTCAGATTAATTTTAAGTCTTGTGTTTTATAATTCAGAATTTGATTTGAAACCAAAATAATACATAGGTAGCACTTAGTTATTATCAATTGTATTTTTTTTCTGAACCTCTTTAAAATTTTCCCACAGTATCTGGACCCCACCTAAAACTACTTGCCGACCCCTGATGTAGATTATCTTAGGTATCCTATTACCGAAATTCAAGTTGTATTTGTTCGATATTTGAACCTGCGAGGTTCGCTTTTTCAAACAGATGTACATATGTGTGAAGTAGCGGCTATCCATAAAATCCGTAAAATCATCGACTATATTTAATTAAATTCCATATTCATTACAGTTTATCAAACGTCCATTGCTGAATGGGCCCATAGACTAATTTAATTTATTCATTTCGTTTTTAATATTAAATAAATCGCTAGTTACGCAAGTGCTAGACTTAAGTCCTAGACTTAACCGCTACTGGTAAATAACTAGTCCTATTAACTTGTCCGTCGAATCGTACCATACATGGCGACCGGATCCGTTCTCACACGGTTTACTTGGAGGCTGTTTATGCATTATTTTAATTTCGCGGCTGTCCTATTATACAACGTATATGGTCCGTGTACGATATGCCATTTGATGGTATGACGATGGATGGTATGTATGAGATTTGTCGACTAGTCTAAAATTATGGTGTAATAAGAACATTTTAAATGTTATCATAATAAATATTTTCTTGGCTACACACGTCGCGGTCAGAGTAGTAGAGCAAAGCCCCTGGTATCACGTAGAGCCGTAGAAGCTCAAAGGCTTAGCACCCGCCGTAAATATCATAATACATAAGCAAGCTTGTTTCGATCCCAGCTGACACCAATAAAATTGTTAACTGCAGCTTAAGTGTTGATTTACCATGTGTTCGGCGGTGAAGGAAAACATCGTGAGGAAACCTGTATGTCTGAGAAAAAAAAATATCTCGAAGACGTTTGAAATCCGACAACACGCATTGGGGCAGTGCGGTGGAGAGTTCCATGCCCTAAAACTCTCAGAAACGAGAGCAAGCCTACAGTATATAAGTTGTAACTCTACTTTATTGGAAACACGTCACGGGTGCTTTCACCGCGTGCTCGGCGGTGAAGGAAAACATCACGAGGGAACCTGCGTGTCTGAGAAGTAAGAAAACAAATTTCGAAGAGATGTGAAGTTCGGCAACACGCATTGGGGCAGCGCGGTGAACATTTCCTTGCCCTAAAACCCTCTCAGAAATGAGGGGCGGTCTGTGCCCAGCAGTGGGACGTATAATAGGCAGTAACTGTACCATTAAAAAAATTACCGAGAATAGAAAATTAAGAAAATAATTATACTTACTATCTTCATAGAGTGGTGAATTCAGCACCTCCTTTCCCTTTTCCAGTGCCTCGTTGTATTCCAGAATATCACCTTCTGAAGACGGCGTTTCTTGCATCATATCGTCTATCTCCTGAATGACCTGTAATTGTTATGAAAAATATGTAACGTCATTTTGTAATGTGAATGAATAATGTTTGGTTTTTTACTCGTAATATTATATTTTTTGTCTAGAAGTCTTTTAAAGTTGATTCTTCTCCTTACTAATTTCATCCTTAAGTAGTAAAACAACCACTATTTTGTTCCAGTTTGAAGTCATATGAGCAGTATAATTCTGTAATGCGAATTATTAATGTTGACATTTTTGAATTTAATAAGGAATGGTACCACCCGCATACAAATTTTTGCTATCAAGCAGTAATGCACCTACTGTTTTGTTCCGGCTTGAAGGCATGTGAGCCAGTATAGTTTCAGACTATGAGGTATCTCCTCTGAGTCCTTAAGGGTATCCCATCATTAGACTTCTTTCTTCGAAGTAGCTGCAAGTGTCTATAGGCTGCAGGAACTATTCATCATCAGATGGACTTTTACCAGTTTATCAATGACAACAGTTGATATACCAAGGAGCTTGAAGAAATATTAAAAATCAACATTGGTTATCACATAGCATCTTTTCGCAAGCGAAGTATAACTACTTTAAGTAAATGCCAAGAACCTTGGACCAAATAAATCTTGGAATCCACTTGATGTCGAAATACTTATCTCAAAGATCGCCAATCGTCTTATAGGTACTTACACCGTTGGAATAATGTTCAAGCCGTGAGGCGATTGGTAATAACGCGATTACCAATATTTGTGTCAATATTAAGATACAGTAAATATTAACTGATAAGCAGTTGAAACAACATCCAAAGTTCAAGACAAATTCGCCTACCAATATTGGCAGATACGGCAAATATTTTTCTCGGGGAAACAAGCACATATACCATATTACCAGCCTTTTTTATTAAACAGCTAGATGTTGGTCTCTCTAAGAATGTTTCAGCTGGCAAGCAGGTCATCGTACTAGGAATGTTGCATATTATTATCGTCACTATACAACAGAAATATGTTGATTCTGGTTGGATGGTTTCTGCCAAATATCAGTTACTATTCTTGTCGGTTTTACAGAGTTTCCTCGGTCATCAGTAACACTAATTACATGCAGATGGGGTTTAACATTTGCAGAAAAAGTCCATATCATTCCCCTTTACAATAATTACACATAACGTCAGATGCACGTTAAGCCAAAAATTTGGGTCTAGGTGGAAAATTATGAAAGAAGTGACGGATGGCTAGCCCATAGCCTATGCAATCACACGCTCAATATTTCCTTTTACAACATGATAGATAAGTAACACAGTTGACACATTCTATTTTGTTGTAGGTTCCATATAAACAAGTGACCTATAACTCCCAGACCAACATGAGACATTCTAATGTCGATATTATGAATATCCTAAACTAAATTAATTAGAAATGCCCTAATTACCTCGTCAGCGGTCTTCACAGGGCACTCGTGATCCTGATGCAAGCCACCAAGAATGAGCGCATGCATGTCCAAGTCCGACGCTACTGCTTCGTCCTCCGAGCTGTGGATCTCATCATCCGGTGTCATGGCACTCTGTTAAAAAAATATATAATTTTTAAAGTGTAACAGTACAAAGTAACACTGTAATTACAATTTTTTTTAAATAGAAACATACCAACTGTCTCTCTTTTACGATAATGGGTTGAATTCATTTCTAAATTATATTATAGTCTGAATTAACAGCTTCAAAACATGAAATATTTTATTTTTATTCATTAATTCCGTTTTGCGGCAGAACAAGTATCTATGAATTATAATAACACATTTTCTCACAGTTTAAGAAGCGTCTAAAGCGCCATATTTGTTTTTATATTGTATTGTATTGCGTAAACTAAAACGAGATAGAAGACATGATCGATGTTTTTCTGTGAAACGGGAACGCTTATTCAAATTTATTTGGTGTCAAGTGTTTATACTCGTAGTTAGATACATTGAGAGTGTGATGAAACTAATCGATTAGGCCTCTAACATACTAGCGATTTTAATAATACCATTTTTTTTAATCATAAATAAGTCTTAATAGTTTTAATCGAACATTTAAACATACCGTTTCGGATTGCGACTTTAGTTTAATAGAATTTTAAATACACGAGCTGTGTTATTATGTCTATGTATGTATATGCTTGTTATTCATAAATATATACGCTAGCCCCTAGATTGTGATATAAGGTTGGATAGACGACGACCCATCTACCCCTATCTAATGTTACGCCTTATTTTGTGCTAAGATCACAGATAAGTTTCGACGCAGTATAAGAAAATGGGCAATTACAACAAGTGTGATTTCTTCGGTTTAGGCTGCCTGGTTTTCCAAACCAGGACGTTTGAATCAATAAATTTATGCATACGGCAATGTAATTAAATAACAAAAGTCAGGTATAGACTATAATGGGGTTTCTCCGTTAAGGGGATCTCTACTAATAATTTAAATAGACTGTAATCTTTTTAAAATTCGTTAATTTAATTGTAAATTCATTAAGTGAATTTTGAGAAACGAGTCGACTTTAAATAAAACGCTTAGCCAGTTGGTAGCTACAGTTTTGGGTATTATTACCAAAGTTATACAATCACCCATAACTTGGATTCGGAAATTAATTAACAAGTTCAAGAAATAAGAGAAATTTAGGAATATTCTCTCTCCTCGTCCAGCAGTGAAATTTTACGGGCTAGTGAAGAAACACATTATTAATTTTTAATAAATTTGATATGATAACGTGTTTATGAAACTGTGCGTATTATATATCTCGATTGAATTGATGATTTTACAATAAAAATATGAAAAAGCTAGTGTTAGTCTGAGTGTTCGAATAAATATAGCTATGCGGAACCACGTAGAGCCATGCTGCAGCTATATTAATAGTATAGTTATAGCACGAATGGGTCGGCTCGACCGGGGAAGGACCACGCTCTCACAGAATATCAGCGTAAAATAGCAGCTTAACACTTATATGTTTCGTATGGTGAGTGTCTACACTACACGGAGAACCGGCGACCCTTTTTACTGGAAAAGAGGCATTCCATCTTTGTCCTCACGGGTGACGACGCATCTGCATTTTGATTCTTTATTAAGGATAGATGTAGATGTCTAAGGGTAACAGCAACCACTTACCATCAAGTGGACTGTGTGCTCGTTTGTCACTCTATCCTTAAAAAAATTGGGTAAGGTTTTAATATCGTGTTAACAACCGATTGTTATAGACATAATAGATACAGAATAATCGCAAATACATAATAAAATTACGCTTGCTAATTCGTGAGTGTGAATATGCCTTTAGTTATGACGCTAATTAATTTACGTTCACGTCGCATCATTTACATCATTTAAAATGTTTATTGCTTCTGTAATGTACCTATTTTTGTTAATTACCCTATTGAATGTTTTAAAAATTAAAATCTAGTGTTTAATTTTACATTTAGTATGTTAGAAAACCTGCCTTTCGTTTTGAACAGAGACTAATACGGCTGATGCTGTGAGCTAAAGTTTTTCGTTTGAGCTGTTTGATCGTTTACACTAATTGGTATTAATACTTTCACTGTCCGGTTTTCAGACACAATATAATACACGGGACAACGAAAGGGTTAAGTTCGTTTACGTATTCGCGAAAATACAATTCGAAATAGCCTCGTTAATTGTTTGTGCGTAGCATCATCAATTCGCATTCGTTATGCGTATAAGCGCGATCTCTGTCTACAAAGTGTTAGTCGAATTTCGCCAAACGTTTATTTGTGAATTTCCGAACGATTTAATAAAAAAATTACTTATATTTAAAAAAATCGACGATGATTTAGTCTTAAATTATTGTTCTTAAACGCCTTATTGACAAGAATTACAAGTACAAGAGTACAAAAAAGCACTTCAAACTGAAATTAACTATTTCATTGGTGTCGAAGGCTTGGCTAGAGCAATAGGTAAGAAAAGGTTACTATCCTAAAGAGACGTCTGAGCAGAATAAGAGCCCCAAAAGAAGAAAAAAATGTGTCTTTTATGGTTAGGTAATTTTATTAATTACTGACCTTTTTGTCACTGAGGTTCAGAGTAGGGATGTGCATTTTCCTGGAGAAAGACTTGGTCCAGTCGATCGGTAGGATGTTTCCGAAATTGCCAGTTATCGTCCACCACATTCTGGAAAAGAATAAACGTCTTAAAATCACCGTTATATCGCCACTAAATCGCTTTCATATATATATAGAGAGAGAGAGAGAGAGAGAGAGAGAGAGAGAGAAAGAGAGAGTCCACAGTTAGGCGTGGACAAGTTCTTTTTATAATTTTCTAATAAGTCTTTAAAGTCAGAAAAACTGATTGTGTGTAGTACCAGGACATCTACATCTATCCTCGTTTGAGAATCAAAATGCAGATGCGTTGTCACGTGTGAGGACTAGAATGAAATGCCTCTTTTCCAGTAAAAAGGGTCTCTGGTTCTCTACACCCACCATACGAAACACAACAGCATTAAGTTGCTATTTTACGCTGGTATTGTGAGAGTGTGGTCCTTCCGGTCGAAACGACCAATCTGTGCTGCAAGTGACTACTGCAGCTGGACATTTGCATCCAACTTCGAACAAAGAAGACTATAGATGCGTTGTCATCTCTGAGGACTGAGATAGAATGCCTCACAGATCACAGTTAATGTAATTATACAAGCCTCTATACCCTTCAGACCGAACACACAGCAGTGCAAGCACTGCTATTTCGCGGCACAAATAGTTAACAGGGTGTTACTGACCCCGACGGACTTCTGGTCTGGCCAGAAAAAGGGTCCTACCACCTAATCTATATTGCCAGGGGTAGATTGAATTTCGACTGCGCCCCTAGGCCAGCACCTCCCTCATCGGCCTCCTTCCCTTATATTATAAATTATAACTACCCATTTTGCAAATAATCTATATTATAATTTATAATATAGTTCAGTTGCAAAATAATTAGAATACGAGTACCCTTAACAGATGGGCGTTAGTGAAAAATGTGATGACAGAGTGAGGGCTATGTAGTAGTAATGAAAGAGATGAGTTTTTCGTTTTGAAACTTTAGCACGCGCCCCTTTTTAAGCTTGCGCCCTAGGCGACTAGGGCGGCTGATAAGTCCGCGGCCTAATTAATGAAAGAAAATATATGGTTTCTATTTTTCATTTTTCAATATAATCTCCCTCAAGTGAAATACATTTTTCACATCTCGCATACAATGCCTCCAACCCACCCAAAAAATATTCTGTATCTTTCTCTTCAAAATGACATTTAACCGCAGCTTTCATTTCGTTGTCATCAGCAAGTCTACGGCCCCGTAAGTCCTTTTTCAAATTGGAAAACACAAAAAAATCGCTAGGTGCTGGGTCTAGGCTACACGGAGGTTGGTTAATCGGAGTATTTCAAGGCTCGTCTCGCACCATGTGCGGTGTGAACGGGCGCGTTGTCTTGCAGAAAGATCTGAGCTCAGTTTCCCACGTAGTTTCTGTACAATAGCCTCGCGAATCTGAGTCAATAAATTGGCGTTATATTGGCCATTCATCGTAGTTCCCCTGGGTAGGTAGTCGATAAGCTAAATTCCCTCGGTATCCCAGAAAACAGTCGCCATTACCTTGGACGCGGACTTTTCCAGCTTAAATTTCTTCGGCGGCCTTTCTCAATTTTTATCCATTGTGTGGACTCTTGTTTGGACTCAGGATCATATTGGCTAATCCATGTTTCATCTACGGTGACTATTCAATGCCAAATGTCTTCCTTTTTATCGCCGAAGCTAATTACTCATCGTAAAGTACCCTAGGCCACGAACTTTTGAGCCGCCCTGGTAGTTTGCCTTAACGATAATGAGCCACTGTATACGTATATTGCAAACTCACTTATGGTTAATCTACAAAGCTGACCACGTATAAAAATCTCTTTCTCGTTTTAAGAAAAGTGCTAACGGATTAACGCCTTACTTGTTTTTACAAAATATTCAAAATAGAAGAAAGGTTGCCCTTTTAAAAACATGAATATAGTGAGTTCAAACGCTCGGCAGCTCTATTGTTAGCTTTTATGTTTTTAAACATTTGTCTTCACTTTTCAACAAAAAAAATTAAGATGGTTCAATGCACTTAAATTATAACAGTTCTATAAACCGGTTTAAGCTGCAGTAGAAAAAGTGGAATAAAACAAAAAAATATTACTTATTAAAATGTCACGCTCCAATAATTGAGACTGAAGAATTCTCTTTTTGTCGTTTTTATTTACTCTCGCACTTTGGATTTCTTCTATAACTTGGTGGCGTCTTAAATTTAAATTTAAATTGCATATAGATTATGGACAAATACCCGGACCTGGGACAATTATCAGTAGGTTCTATAAATACTTAGTTACCATGCGGGAATCAACCCGCAGCCAGACGTTTAGCTACTGTGCTACCGAGTCGATAAAAACTGAAGAAGTTTTTGACTTCCGTTACAAAGGAATATAATTGATACCATGAATAAAACATATAGACTGGAAAGAGCTTAACCGAGATCAAATCAAGAATTATTAAAATTCTTCTTACCTACGTTATAATAAATCGATCTAAGCAAGCGTCCATCTCATAAAATACCGCGGCATTTTAAAATTTATAAGGTATAAATTTTTATTACGATTAAAATTATTTATAATTAAAACGAAACTAAGAGTCATTTATATAGTATATCTGATATTCCTGTATTTATTTAAGTGTTTGAAACGATTAAGTAGCCAAGTTTCAATTACAACAAATAGCTAAGTTAGAAAAATGACTAAAATTATAAAGTGATCTTACATTAGTTTTACTGATCTTATCGCGTATATTAAGTTATTTTATATTCTCGACGTTTCGGGTACTTTACATCACCCATGGTCACCGGGGGGGGGGGGGGGGGGGGGGGCTGAGGTGTTTGACGAGGTATAGCCGTGGTTAACTAACACATTGGGAGGAAGAACCTACGTATATCCGCGATTAAAAATCAAAATAAAATTGTACCCCTGAGCATTAAGCTGATATTTCACGCTGTGGTTGTAGTATGAGCGTGGTTCGTTCACGTTCCAGCCGTCTCACTAAAAGTATTTCAAAGATTATTAATGACTGAATATTTTAAAATCGCTGATATACATATGTTTCCCGCACGTCAGTGAACGGAAAACTTCAAGCTGGCCACAGAACAATTAATACGACATAAATCGGTTTCTCTGCCACTAACGGAACGTTTATTACCACATTATCCTACATGCGTCAGAACGTTACGAGAGGGATTATATTTCTAGTGTGGTAAGAAAACATATTAACGAATAACAGAAAAGTATTTTTAAATCTATCGTAGTGCTCTTCGAGTTTACCTCCATTTTATTTTAGTATTGTTGCATATTACAACATTGCGATGTATAGGGCAATTATAAGTCTAGGGAGTTTAATTTTGTTAAAAATTAAACACGGATACACTTAAACGTGAAACGAAACATTCTATCTTAGCTCTCAGGGCGTTGGTAACGCATCTGATCTATCTGAATTGAATGATCTATATGAATCATTCGAATCATAATTCATAACCGATATAGGTGTCTGATATTACAGTATCAACTTTCTATCCTTAATTACTCCTATAAAAATAGTTGTGACTATAGGAAAAAGTTTGACTTTGGCATTTGGAAGTTAAACATAAGTATTCCATTTCTTACTGAAATATCTTAAGAAACCTGTTGTATGGAACAAAGTATAGAAAAATTATTTTTAATACAATTGATCATATTAATCGCGACCAACGACCTTGTCCGATTTAGTACATACAATGAGATCTAGACGTGTTGATTGTGTACATGCTGTACAGCCGTGAACTTGTATAAAGTGTAATTCTGCGTTTCCTCTCTTCCCGCAAATTAGCCGTGGGGAAGAGCTATACTGCGTCAGTTTTCCCAATTATATGCGCGGCAAGGACGATCGTTTTATGGTATGGTAGGGTTAACACATATAAATCTTTTATGTAAAATCATATAAGATTTATATGTGTTAACCCTAATTAAAGATTTACTATCTTTTACAGATAAATGGTAGGTGACGCTAAATTAGATTACTTAGACATTTTTTAGGGTTCCGTAACTCAAAAGGAAAAAATGGAACCCTTATAGGATTACTTTGTTGTACGTCTGCCTGTCTGTCTGTCAAGACCCTTTTTCTCAGGAACGCGTAGACGTATCAAGCTCAAATTTATATCAAATACTCGAATCTACTGCCCCTTGGAGCTTTGAAAAAATCAAACTTCTAAGCCAACGCAATCAAAAGGTACAGCCGTTTATGCCGCAAATATTCGACATTCGCAAGGGAATCAAAACCTACAGGGTACTTCCCGTGAATTCAGAATCTTAAAATTTGGTACGAAGCGACGTATTATAGCACAGATACAGGAAAAATTGCGAAAAGCATAAATTTTTAGTTACATCATATAATAAAAATATTTTTAATAATTTTAAACTCATATACCTATACATTTACCAAGGCTCCAAAGTCTTTGCCAGAGATCTGTCTGCCAGAAAGAGCCAACTGTCAAAGCTGAAGACAGAATGTGGCAGCATCGTTTCCGGGACACCTGAGATTTTGAGTGAGATTGAGAGGTTCTATGGGCAGCTGTACACATCATCGTTGGAGCCACACGCAAGTGTGAGTAACGATCCAAGAGCGAGTCTCATCCGACACTATTCCGAAGATATCCCGGATGTCAGTCTGAGCGAGATTAGGATGGCTCTCCAGCACCTTAAAAACGGTAAGGCCCCAGGCGAGGATGGAATTACAGCGGAGCTTCTGAAAGCGGGTGGAAGACCGGTACTTGAAGTCCTTCAGAAGCTCTTTAATTCCGTCCTCCATGGTGGCAATACACCGGAGGCGTGGAGCAGAAGTGCGGTGGTCTTGTTCTTCAAGAAAGGTGACAACGCTCTCTTGAAGAACTACAGACCGATTTCCCTTCTGAGCCGCGTCTACGTGCTGTTTTCGAGAGTCATTACGAATCGTCTCGCGCGCAGACTTGACGACTTCCAGCCTCCCGAACAAGCCGGTTTCCGAAAGGGCTTTAGCACCGTAGACCACATACATACCCTTCGGCAAGTTGTACAGAAGTCCGAGGAGTACAATTTGCCACTATGTCTGGCGTATGTGGACTA